CAGGCTCGCGCGCGGCCCGTATGGGCTGGGCCAGGCCCGCGCGCGGCCCGTATGGGCTGCGCCAGGCCGTCGCGCGGCCCGTACGGGAGACGCCCGACCCGCGCGCGGCTCGGGCTGCATGCGCGCGGCTCGGGCGTCCCTACCAGGCCCGTGGTGGGCCCGTTTCCTACCTTCCCTGCCCTCCCCGCTGGTCCCAGTCCCTCTACTACCGCCCTACCCCTCCTACTCCCCATTCTCCTACTTCAGGGTTTGGGGGTGAGGGGTTTGGGGGTGCCCTTACTAAGCACCGCTCCCTGCTCCTCCTCCTCCTCCGTCTCCTTGTACTGCAGCTGCCGCTGAGGGGGGGGGGGTAGTTGTGGTGGAGCCGGTGGAGTGATGCTAAGGGGGGGTGAAGGGGGAGGAGAGCTAGCGGTGTAGCAGTGGGTGTGTGCCAGGGGGAGTAGGACAGTTTTGGGAAGCTGAATGGAGGATGCCGATGTGTCGCTAGCAGCACCTTTAGCCGCGGGGCCAGTTACTCCTGTAGTCCGGGGGCTTCGTCCGGTAGCCGTTGTGCCAGTCTGCCTCCTGTTGCTGGTGTGTCTGCAGCTTCATCCGTCGCCTCCTATCTCCTCTCCTCTCACTCTCTCTCCTCCTCCTCACTTGCCCGTTGTGACTACCTCTAGCTTTGCTTATAACTGTGAACTTTATACTATTGCTGCTTGAACTTGTGCTCAGACTGTGTGGTGACATTGTGATCCCCCCTGAGCTTGTTCTGTTTTGCTTGCTCTGCTGATTACACCCCACTTTGGCTATGGGGGTGTGTCAGAATGTTATATTTGTTCTCTAGCCTGCAGTGGGGTACTCTATAGCGAGTATAACCCCTTAGGGTTTCATACATGTATCCCTTTGCTTGCTAGTACAAACTCTCTTTGCCTAACTTCTTCCTTGCCTAGCTAGGTTAGTCCTAGCTATGGCTCTTACCTATGCTTACCTATCTTCACAGAATGCTGAACAATCTGGCACAATTTCAATGCTGATAATATGAATCCGTTCTTGTTTTCCCTCCTGATATAAATAACAGAATGAAGAACAACATCACTGTCCATAAGACCTAGAAGATTGTAAGACAAAAAAAAAAACGTTTGGAAAAAACATTAACAATCTAGCAATTTCACTATATTACCACAAAAACTTCAAATGCTGACTTTGAGCTCGGTGCAGCCTGAAGTTAAGATGCTGATGTAAACCAATTGTTAATGCCTGATAAGAAGCACGTCCAGGAATAACAAAAACAAGGTGTTGGAGTGTATGTTGGTAAATGCAAGAACATAGAAGTCAATGCATGAGGATAATAAAAACATACAAGAATTGAGCTCGACTTTCTTCTAGATAGATATGCTAGGGTACACTCTGAAAAGTGATCAAAAGTTGAGAGTAGCTGGAAGAGTTTGAAATAGAGTAGTTAACTAAAGAAGAGAATATCTCAACTCACTTAATATGTAGCAAGAGAGAACCAAGAAGAGTTATCACTAGATAAAACAGAGCTTGAAGAGTTATCACTAGGTACCTTGAATGTGACCACTAAAAGAGCTTGAATGTGTTGTGAGGAGCTTGAAAGAGGAGCTTAAAAGAGTTATCACTAGATAAAAGAGAGCTTGAATGTGTTGTGAGGAAGAACAATGAAACAAGCTCCAAGAAAATGTGGAGTTTGGTTTGAGTAAGAGAAGGATGGGAAAGAAAGGGAGAAAGGGCTAGAGGGTTTGCTTTGGGAAGGGAGAAGTGGAAGAGTCTTTCTTGATTGGATACAAAGTTGACCAATGGTAAGAGAATTGTTATTGTGCAGTGGAAACAAAAAAAACAGTTGGAAGCATTGAGCTAGAAACAAAACGGCCAACTAAACAATGCTGTTTGTTTTGTTTCTAGTTCATAGTTCATAGTCAATTTGTTGACAATTTACAATTGTAATAGTTTGACAACTGTTTGTTTTGTTCCTACTTGAAAATCGTTTTCATTCTACAGTTACAACTGAAAGATACGACAAAAGCAGAGAAGACGAACTACAACTTTGAAAACAAAAAAACAAAAACGTGAGCTGGCGTTTTACAGTTACGCCAGCCAGAATGAGCAGTTACGACAACAAGAACAATGACCAAACGTACTGTACGCGAAACCCCCCCTTCCACAATTCTCGCCTCGCCCCACCCCTTCCCACACTTCAAGCGCGAGAAACAGCACATGTCAGCAGCGAGCTCGATTAATTTCGGGCGACGCTGATGACGTCAGCACAATTTCTCGCGCGAGAAAAATGCCTGACGTCAACAGCTGTCAGAGGTCCACTTGTGATCCCCGATCGATCCTAGGGAAGGGTTACAGGCACGTTGGCCTGGGGGGTTATGGGCGCACTTACCCGCTACACAAACAAGCCCTTTTATCCCAATGGTCTAGTGGTTGGGATTCTGACATGGTATCAGAGCGAAGGTCTCGGGTTCAAATCCCGGTGTGTGCACTTCAGGCATCCCAGTGCGGGGGGGTGTCAGAGGTCCACTGGTGATCCCCGATTGATCCTAGGGAAGGGTTACAGGCACGTTGGCCTGGGGGGTTATGGGCGCACTTACCCGCTACACAAATAAGTCTTTTTATCCCAATGGTCTAGTGGTTGGGATTCTGATAGCAGCGACGTTCGAAATTTCGCACAAATTTTGGTGCTGACGTCATCATCGATACCAGAAGTTTCGCGCGAAAATCTGACGATGATGACGTCACCGAAACGAAGATGACGTCATTACCTCCTTTTTTGTAAAACTGTTCAAATGATACATCAACAACATCTATAACTGTGAACAAAGAAAACAACCTACAAAATCCAATACTCATATAAATATTCTTACTATAATATAGAGAAATCAAGTCTACCACGTATACCACATAAATACCAAAAAACAATTAAAATCTTCAACTCATCATTCACATTAGGACGTAAAAATGGCACCCATATATTTAATCCGAATACGACAAGTAATCAACGTTGTTAATAAATCTTTCGGCATGTTACAATTGTTGCTTCGCAACCCTAAGACGATTTAGTCGCCTCTTTTTTTTTTTTTTTTTTTTTCTCTAAAAAGTTGCTCACGAAAAAGCTATGGCAAAATCAAACTCTCACCCACACTCCCAGGGGTGTTTCCGTGAGAGCGAATTGATTTTTTTTCGTCAAACCTGAATCTGTCGCGCAACATTTCCGATTCCCTCGAGGGGTTTCTCGAAACACTGGTTACTCCAGACGAAGTCTGCCGATTTTTGAAGTCCAACCTCACCAACCAACTGAACCGTACATCCATCCTTGCTCTGAAGGATTTCTTCTGTTGGACGTTCTGTGTATTTTGCTTCTTTTGTGGTGCTCTGATGAGACTCGGACGTCATGCAGTCCTATGAGCCTAGGGACCTGGTTTCAGCCATTCTGTCGCTCGACAAAAAAGGCGAACGCTTTAGCATTACTAGAACAGGCGGCAGCAGCAGGGTTGGGTTTGAACTGATGTAGTCAGGTACAGTAAATGATGGATTCAGAGTCCGCTCACCACCAAGTACTCCTGTGCCTTGAAATGTGAGAGCTTCGCCTGAAGCTCCAATTCATTCAGTGCTTGGCTGTTATCGACCGGCTATCGTTGATCCAATATTGATTCATCAAGACTCGTGGCTGCAGTTATTCTAGTCGTGTCCCTGTTTCAGCATTTCGTTAGTGTTCGCCCGTTATTAGCACGAGGTGACGGCGAGGGTGAAATCGGGACCAGAGTCGGCCTTAGCGCGACTTCCGTTCCAGGCGGTTCGCGGAACAAGTACGCTTACGTCACGCTGTTGTGCGATGACGTCATGGCAGAGGCGGCGATGGTGATGGTACACTCCGTACGCCGTACGGGCACGCCTCACGATATCGTAATACTCACCATGAACGTCTCCAATCGCACGCTAGAATCGCTGGTAGCCTTGGGGGCGAAGATCGAGCCCATTCTGGAGTCCGTGCCTTATCCGTTCGCCGTCACGGCGGACAGACTTGCCATCAACAAGCCGTGCAGGTAAGAGCCGATTTCTAGGCGCGTGCCTGTGCCTAGAGTACTCAAAGAACGATACTGGAACCCGTGCCTGATCCCTTTGCTGTTACCGCAAAAAGACTCGCAATGTCCAAGCTTTGCAGGTACGAGCCAGATGTTCCTAGGAGCTTTGAGAAGTCTAAAAGGGAATAACCTTCTTGAGCTGGCATTGGTTCTTAGAAGCATACAGTGTGGCAAGCAGCAAGCCATGCTTGTGTGTGACAGTGACAGTGAGGGAAGCCATTTCCGTCCAGCTCAGTGAGGCTCGTTTGTGCTTGAAGCGTGCAGATACTTCAAGCTGCTTATCTGGATCACGGTGTGAATCACCCAATTGGGATCCGACCGACACATGATTGGATACAGGACTGATTGCTCAACATGACCATTGTTGAAGAGTTCGTCAGAGTACAAGACAACCGGTGTTGTCACCGTGATCATCCACTCTCCACCTCATTCGTCTCTCTCACCCCTGCCTCCCTCCCTCCCTCCTTCGCAGGTATCCCAAGCTGCTGACGTGGAACATGGTGTGCTACCTACCGCACCGCAAGCGCATCTACCTCGACCTCCTGCTCGTGTCCTCCAATGACCTAGGAGGACCCATTCTCAATACAGATCATGTGACCATCTGACCCCTCTCTTCAGGTACTCCTAGCTGATGTGCAACGTGGTGTGCTACCGCAAGCTTATGTGTCCGTTCCCTGCCTCCCTGCACACAGGTACTCGAAGCTGCTGATATGAAACATGGTGAGTTACCACAAGCTCATCTACCCCTGGGTTAGAGGAAACAACCTACCAGTTTCCAAACCCCTCTCGCCAAATACCCGAAGCTGCTGATGTGGAACATGGTGCGGTACCACCACGGTCTGATTGATTGTGTCCTTTGAGTCGCCAATCCCCGTCTGTCCAACCCCTGCACCCACCAGGTACTCGAAGCTGCTGATGTGGAACATGGTGCACTACCGCAAGCTCATCTACCTGGACTCGTACCTGCTCGTGCTGCACAACATCGACGACCTCTTCCACCGCCCGCAGCTCTCCGCCGCGCCCGACACGCTGCCGCCCGACAAGTTCAACAGCGGGCTCATGGTGGTGGAGCCCAACCGCGCCATGTTCAAAGACATGCTCTCCAAGATTGCCACCCTCGTCTCGCCCAACGTGGGCGACCAGGGCTTTCTCAACAGCTACTTCTCGTCGTGGTACCAGCAGGGCCCCGTGCACCACATCGACTACACGTACAATGCGCTCGTGCGCATCTCCGTGTCGCCCGGCTGGCGCCTGTTCATCGAGCCCAAGCTCAAGGTGCTGCACTTCTCGGGCAACACCAAGCCCTGGAACATGATGGTCGACCGCCAGGTGTGTGTGCTTCACCTCCCCCGCTTGGCTGCCTCCTCCTCCTCCTCCTCCTCCTCCTCCTCCTCCTCCTCCTCCTCCTCCTCCTCCTCCTCCTCCTCCTCCTCCTCCTCCTCCTCCTCCTCCCTCAGCCCCTCCTTTTCCCCTCCCGTTCCTTTCAAAATCCTCTCCCTTTCCCCCCGTCCCCACGTCCTCCCTTGCGCCATGGCAGTTCCCCACCACGAGGGCGTTCGACCACCGGTGGTGGGAGGTGTATGACGACGTCTACTCCATCCTGCACCGCCAGGCGCTCAAATCCTCCAAGTCCTCCTCCTCCTCCTCCTCCAACTCCCGCTCCACCCTAGACACCACCGCTGCTGCCACTGCAGCTGCTGCTGAGAAGGCTGGTGGTGGGGGGAGTGGAGGGGTTGGGGGGGGTGGGGAGAGCTTGGAGGCGGTGGCGACTGCTGCCCGGCTGGCAGCAGCAGCGGCAGCAGCAGCAGGGTCGCCCTCGGAGCCGCCCCAGCTGGCGCCGCAGTGCCAGCGGAACTACATGGCGTATGCACGGTGCGTTGAGGAACTACAGAGTATGGTGTGTGGGTGGTGAGAGTATGGTGTGTGGGTGGTGAGAGAATGGTGTGTGGGTGGTGAGAGTATGGTGTGTGGGTGGTGAGGGAGTGGCGTGTGCTTGGTGGAGCGGGTGGCGTGTGGTGAGTGAGTGGTCTCTTGACATAATTCGTAGAGTGCAGCAGACTCTGGTCAGGCAGGGTCAGAGCAAAAGGCATACGGTTGCTGAATGTGATTATATACTGCTTCCACCGCTCTCACCTTCTCTTCCTTCCTCTCATCCCCTACTCCCCATACCAAACCCATACCCATCATTCCCCACCCCACCCCCAACCGGGCAGCAAGCCACCGATAACGGACAAGTTCAGTGTGATCATCAACTGCTTTGACCGCTTTGATCTCATGCTCTACTTTGTGCGGCGCTACGTGCGCTTTGAGTTCGTGCACAAGGTGTACATCGTGTGGGGCAACACGCGCGTCACGCCCTTCCACCCCTCCTACTTCAACGTCTCCAAGCCTGTCGAGATCCTCTACTCTGGCATCGACTCGCTCAACGACCGCTTCAAACCCATTCGGTCAGTGGAAAGATGGCCATACTCCTCCCTTCTCGCCCTGCCATTCTCTTTCTCGCCCTGCCATTCTCTTTCTTGCCCTGCCAATCTCTTTCTTGCCCTGCCTCGTTCTTGTCCCCTAGATTCCCCATTCACGCGTGCCCCTCTCACTGCATTCTGTTCCCCCAGCTCCCTGGAGACAGAGGCAGTGCTGATGTGTGACGACGACATCGAAGTGCATCCAGGCGCGCTGCACGTGGCGTTTGAGCGGTGGCAGGAGGAGAAGTACCGCCTCGTGGGCTTCTTCCCGCGCGCGCACTACCGCGAGGTGAACGGGCCGCGCAGCGGGCAGATGACGTACGTGCTGACGCCGCGGCAGGAGTACAGCATCGTGCTCACCAAGATGTTCCTCATGCACGGCGACTACCTGCGCGCCTACACCTGCATCATGCCGCAGCGCGTGCGCGAGTACGTGGAGCGCAACAAGAACTGTGAAGACATCACCATGAACTTCGTGGTGACTCAGCTGTCGGGGCTGCCGCCGCTGCTCATGGAGGACCCCACAAAGCTGGACTACGGCACGTCGTCCGGGTTGTCGTCCCGAGGGAGCCACGACAACTCCAGGTGAGCTGCTGGTAGGAGTGAGTGTGAGTGGTGCTCAAGTGTGGTGGGCAACGGTGATGTTGGCAGGAATCTAGCCTGCTCATGAAGGATCCGACAAAGCTCGAGTATGGCACATCCTTGGGATTATCGTCAAGAGAGAGCCATGTCCTTGCCCTGTGACCGTACCAGTCTCCATGCCAGCGCGCATGTGTGAATTTTGATGTATCCCTCTGCATGTGTGAATTTTGATGTATCCCTCTACGTGTGTGAATTTTGATGTATCCCTCTGCATGTGTGAATTTTGATGTATCCCTCTGCATGTGTGAATTTTGATGTATCCCTCTGCATGTGTGAATTTTGATGTATCCCTCTGCATGTGTGAATTTTGATGTATCCCTCTGCATGTGTGAATTTTGATGTATCCCTCTGCATGTGTGAATTTTGATGTATCCCTCTGCATGTGTGAATTTTGATGTATCCCTCTGCATGTGTGAATTTTGATGTATCCCTCTGCATGTGTGAATTTTGATGTATCCCTCTGCATGTGTGCTGCGCCTCCCTTCACCTCACCCCCAGGTCCGTGTGCATGAACGACATTGCCATCATGCTGGGGTACATGTCACTGCGCAACACATCCGAGGCCGTCACCTTCTTCGAACGAGACAAGATGGTCAAGGCGAGTCAATCCGAGTCAACGGATGCATGCATGGGATGGTCAAGGCGAGTCAAAAAGGGCATGCAGGGAATGGTCAAGTCGAGTCAATAAGGGCATGCAGGGAATGGTCAAGGCAAGTCAATCTGTCAAAGTCAACCAGTAAATGCAAGGGATGAAGGGTTATTGAAAACGGCCGTATGTTTGGAAAATTCCTGTAAGAAAAGGCCGATTTAAACGGTTTAATACGGTTTCAGGAAGTGCTTTCCGTTTGGATTAAAACGGCCATTTCAAACGGTCGTTTTTTCAAACCAAGGGGGCGCCAAGCCATGGGGCGAGTCATGTTGAATGAATGTGCATTGAGTGATGATCAATGTCAAGGCCTGGCAATGCACATTTGTGATGTCTGCCATTGTCAAAGTCAGTCATGTGAGTCCTTGTTGTCGTTATAGTGTGCAGTATTGGCGTTGATGAGAGTCGCAATGGAGTTTACAGCAGTATTGTCTGTAATCACCTCAACTGTCTGTAATCACCTCAAATGTATGTAATCACCTCAAATGTCTGTAATCACCTCAACTGTCTGCATCTGGTTCCTCATTGCTTTTGCACACAATCAGGTGGTGCGGCGGTGCAGGCTGAGCACGGCAGGCTGATCACAATAGCGCACATGGTCTTTGCGCTAGTGCACATTCAAGTCTCAAAGCACAGCTGGCTTGAGTCTTGACACTGCTCCCTGCATGTTTCCTCATCCCTCAATCACAACAATCAGGTGGTGCGGCGGTGCAGGCTAAGCACAGCAGCGCACAGCACATGGTGATTGAGCCGGTGTTTGATGGATTTGAGCAGCAATGCCATCATGCTGTTAGTGTTCGCCTTCAATCTCACACTTTGTGCTTTGTATTTTCTATATCCTAGAGTAGTGTAGTTTGCACGTTGTGTTTGGTTGGGTGTACACCTGCATCCCAACCAAACCCAATTGTAATCTCCAAGCAATCTCCAACCCACCAATTGGAGATTGCCTTGGGATTACCCCCAATCCCTAAGGATTGCCTCTGATTCCCTTCCCCAACTATTCCTTACCCTTCTTGGATGTACTTCAAGCTCATTACAATTTTATCGCTTCTAAGCCTAAGTTCTCACATGGTTTCAGAGCTCTACATCCGCACATGCGGATCGTGATCCTCCTATCTATGCGGATGTTCTTCCCGCAAACCTCGGCATAGCCTCCTTCAATCTCGTCGCCGTCGATTCGCGACATTCGTGGGCGGAAATTCCCCCGCACCACTTTCCTGTCAACTTCGATGACGTTTTCAATTTCTACGGTACGCTCATCGACGTCGCTCTAACTTATAGTTCCTTTTTCGTCATCTCTCAATTTTGTCACCGCGTCACCTCTCCTCGTCGGGCCGCCGCCCGTCGCCCCGCAGCTTCCCGTCGAGTCGCCGCCCGTCGCCCCGCAGCTTCTCGTCGGGCCGCCGCCCGTCGCCCTGCAACTTCTCGTCGGGCCGCCGCCCGTCGCCCCGCAGCTTCTCGTCGGGCCGCCGCCCGTCGCCCCGCTACTTCACGTCGGGTCGCCGCCCGTCGCCCCGCATCTGCACTTCTACCCCCATTCCCCTTTTCCCGCAGCTGAACAGGTGCAGCAACGCAGCCGAGCAGCAGTGCAGCAGCGCAGCCGAGTAGCAGAGTAGCCGCGAAGCCATGCAGCAGCGTTGCCGCGAAGCTGAGGGTGGTGTGTGGGGGGGTGTGTGGGATTAGGGTTAGATCTACGGAAGTCGGCCGATTTTACTTAGTTTTGGCGGCCTAGAAAATCTTTCTACAAGGCATCTCGACGCGGTCAACATTGACGATTTTCGCTATTTGGGGTCCGTCGGATTTCGAAATCGCCGCGCTGCGCGCGGTTCCTATCGGTGACTTAAGAGCGGCCCTTCGCGCGAGACCAAGGGATCTCCAGCATGGCCTTCACCGCGTCCACCATGGCCAACCCCATCACCCCACTCCGTCTTGAAGCCGATGGTTCTAGCTCCAACGTCAAGGCATGGAGCTATGGGGTTGACAAGCACCTGCTGAGCCGTGACGTGCAAGGATTGGACCTCAAGGATGTCCTCCTCAACCATGGCAAGGGAAAACAACCCCTTCTCCCTCGTGAGCCGACCGAATCTGCTAGAGAGGCTGACACAAGGGCATATGAGGAAGCCGTTGAGAAGTACCGGAAGTGGGAGAAGGCCGATGCTGCTATTATCAGCGTCTTCATCGCCTCCACCCCTCCAGAACTTGTCAACACGTTCCATAACTACCCTACCACCAACGCCATCTGGAAGTATCTCCAGGATCAGTTCATGAACAAGACTGCAGTCGGAGTTGCCATCCTCATCCCCAGCATGTTCTAGGTCCGCCTTGAGGATTGCTAGGTAATGGCCGTCTACATTGCCAAGGTTCAGACCATTCATGGCAAACTCAAGGAGCTGGGTATAGTCTTCCCCGAACAGGCCCCTGCAGCAGCTCTTCTTGTTGGCCTCACCACAGCCTACGAAATCACAAGGAAGATGCTCCTCACGCTGACTGCGGAAGACCTCACTTTTGCCAAGGTCTCCACCGCACTCCTCTCTGCTGAGAAAGACTCCATGGCTCAAGCCAAGGCCTACGTCATCCGTGCTCCCATGCCTCAAGCAAGTGTCGCAGCGGCCCCTGCCTCGGCGCCCTTCCAGCGCAACCGCTTCCCACCGTGCACCTACGTCATCAAGTATGGCAACCGCAAGGGACAAGTGTGTGGTGGCACTAACCACCCCCTTGCTACGTGCTTCAAGAAGAAGGACGACGAATGGTACGCCATCCACGGCATAGACAAGAGGCCACCGAACTGGATGCGTGCGCGTAAGGCCAACCTGGTTGAGGTCCAGGACCCCGCTTCGGCTAATGCTAGTGATATTGCTCCTGCTGATGTGCGTATCAACCTGTTGATCCCTGGCATTGCCATGATTAATGAAGCTTCCTCCCAGCACCTCGGCTCATCACAAGCACCACAATACATAGAGTTCACACTCGACAGCGGCGCCACTCACACTGTGCTCAAGGAGACACTCTCCTCCAAACCCTACGCAACACCCATCCCCCTCCTAGGAGCTGACTCAAGCTTCACCACTCTTGCCAAGGGTTCATCCACAGTCTCGTGCCCCGCCTTCCCTTCCGGCACTGTCACTGGAATGTGCGTGCTTTCACTCCGCCACAATCTCGTGGCCCAAATGGAAATTCAGGAAGCTGGGCTACGCACCATCTTTTGGGAGAACGAGAACTATGGTGATATCCTTGACCCACTCACCAACAAGGTCTTGACTCGTTTCACCCTCAACAGGAGCGGCCTTTACACGCTGCAAGTACCCATCCTACAGGTGTCAACCACCCAAGCAGAGGCAACTACCTCACCATGCTCGTGCCGCAGTTTCTCCAACTCGACCATACTCTACCACCATCGGCTCGGGCACCCAAACTTCCGCACACTTGCTGACATGGCCTCCAAGAAACTTCTACTCGGCCTGCCAGTCTCACTTCCTCCACCACCAGATTCCCCCGCTCCCACGTGCCTTGACTGCACCAAGAGCAAACTGCATCAACAGCCCCACCCGGCCTCACCCTCTGTCGCAGCAGCACCACTGGACTTGGTACACCTGGACGTCTGGGGCCCTGCCCTTGTTCCCGCACGAGGTGGTTATCGCTACTTCCTTGTTATCGTCAATGACCACTCCCGCTACGTCTCTGTTCACCTCCTCCACACTAAGGCTGCGGTTCCAGAGGTCCTCATGGCGTGGGCTAAACAGTCACAGACCACCTTTGACCGCAAAGTCAAGCGCCTTCACTCAGATGGTGGTGGTTAGTTTTGCAACGACAAGCTCAAAGCCTTCTGCTCCTCAGAAGGCATCCAACAAAACTTCACCCTCCCTGACAGCCCGCAGCAGAACGACATAGCTGAGAGCCGCAACTACACCCTGGTGCAGATCACTCGGTGCCTCCTCGGCCACTCCAACGCTCTGCACTCTCTCAGGGGGTAGGCTCTCTACCACGTCGCCCTCCTCCAAAACCTTTACCCCCACCCGCATCTTCCTGACACCACTCCAACCACACTTTGGCTCAGGAACACGCCCACTGCTCGCTCTCTTCGCGTTTGGGGGTGCACCGCCTATGTCCTCCTCAACCCTCAGGCTCGACGGCAGCACGGCGGCAAGCTCGGTCCCAAGACCCAGATGTGCATCTACCTTGGGCACAACGCCGACTTGCCTGACTACCTCTTCCTCAACCCCTCCACTCAACAGTTGGTCCGGAGCCGCGACGTTGTCTTTGATGAGACCCGTCCATTTTACTCAGCTTCGGAACGGGACTCTCTCTCTGATCCACCCTCCCTCGTGTGGGCAGACTTTGATGCGCCTCCTGACCTCCCGCCTGCTCCGGCCCCTTCACCTCCTACCCCTCCTGCCACCGCACCGTCCCCCTCTGAGGTCTCTAACCCGCCCTCACCGGTGTCTTCGGCAGCTGCTCCTCCCTCCCCCTCACCTGCCGCCCTGCCATCTGCGCCGCCACCTCCGAGCGCACCAATCACATACCATTGGCGGTCGCACCCTCCAGCCCCACCTCCTCCCCCAGTCCCCCCTTCCTCCCATGCACCCGCTCCTCCACAGCCGCCCGAACTGATCACGTACAAGCGGCGGCCAATTCCCCCGCCCAAGCCTCCTAAGTCAATCCCTCAGACACCGCCTGCTCCGCCCTCCTCTCCGGTAGCCCATGGCACTCGCTCGCACGGCCCTGCTCCTCTTCTGGCCCTGGCTATTCGTTGCTCCCCGATCACTTCGACTCCTCCTGCCGGGGGGGATGTGCCCTCTACCCTTCTGGAAGATAGGCATGAGGAGCTTTATGATCTTCACGCAGTCATTCCCTAGCTCTCGCACATCTTCCCTGACATCATTGAATCACCCTCACTCAGCTTCACGGAAAACCCGACCATCCCTATCCCTCTCACCGTCCAAGTGGCTCTCTCAGGCCTTCATGCTGCCGAATGGCGTGCTGCCATGGACGCGGAGGTTGAAGCATTCACCCGCAACCACTCCTTCGACGACGAGACTCCACCTCCAGGAGTCAACATCGTCGGGGGCAAGTGGTTGTTCCGTGTAAAACAGCTCCCAGACGAGGCCCCGGTGTTCAAAGCGCGTTATGTAGCCAAGGGCTTCACCCAGCAGCAGTACCGCGACTTCTTCCTAACCTTCTCCCCCACATCCAAACCTCCCACCATTCGTACGCTCATGGATGTCGCTAGGGATGAGCAAGGTGGCGAACACCTGTTCGGTTCGCCTCGAACGTGTTCGAGGCGAACCGAACAGGTTTTGTTTTTTTAGCTCAGATCGTTCGCCGAACAGTGTTCGATGTTCGCCCGAACACGTTCGTGTTCGGGCCGCTGCTGAAATTTGCCCGCGACGAACACGAACAGTGTTCGAGGTTTGCCCGAACACGCCTCCACAGGCGAACAGCGAACACCTGTTTTTTCCTAAACTGTTCGCCGAACCGAACAGTGTTCGGTTCGGCAAAAGAGGGTGTTCGACAACGGGCGAAGACGAACATGTTCGTGTTCGCCCTTTGCTCATCCCTAGATGTCGCAGCTCGAGAAGACTTTGAGATCAAATCCATGGATGCCTCATCCGCCTTCCTACAAGGACGTCTCAAGGAGACAGTGTTCATGGACAGTCCTGAAGGCTTCCCAGGAGAATTCCCTCTCAACACTGTCTGGAAGCTGAATCGCCCCATCAACGGCCTTAAGCAAGCCCCTCGCGAATGGCACAAGAAGGTAGGGATGAGCAAGGTGGCGAACACCTGTTCGGTTCGCAGCTTAAATTGTTCGCCGAACACTGTTCGATGTTCGCCCGAACACGTTCGTGTTCGTGGCGCTACTGCAGAACGCCCCGTGGCGAACACGAACGTGTTCGAGGTTCGCCCGAACACGCCTCCACAGGCGAACAGCGAACACCTGTTTTTGCCTAAACTGTTCGCCGAAGCGAACAGTGTTCGGTTCGGCAAAAGAGGGTGTTCGAGAAGGGGCGACCACGAACATGTTTGTGTTCGCCCTTTGCTCATCCCTAATGGGAAGGGGGGGGGGGAACGACGATGCCCACATTTGAGGCAAAATCATCCCCTTTACATTTCCAGGGTTTAAGGTTTACGAAGGAGAATTGTCTTGGTAAACCCTCTAGGGTGTTTTTGATGGTCGAAATGGGTTAGGGGGGGTCGACATGACGCGAAATTAAGAGTAGCGTCGAAATCGTTGAAGTCAATTTCGCGCTGAGGCAAAAAAAAATTTTCCGGTCAGCCCGAAAAAAAAACGAGGTGCGTCCTGCGTCTGGACGCGCGTCCTGCGTCTCTGCGTCTAGACGCTGTGTCCATACGCAGGACGCAGCAGGACGCGTGCGTCTTTCTCCACATAGGCAGTTTGAGATGGAGCTGTGCACACCTGTTGCCACCCCGCTGCCGCTGCAACACCTCCTCACAGCTCCAGCTGTACCCACACCAGAGGCCTGCTCTGAGCCATACCCGGAGCTTGTTGGGTCCCTCATGTACGCCATGATGTGCACCCGGCCGGACTTGGCCTATCCTGTCAGTGTCCTCTCTCGCTACGTGGCCCCTGGACGCTTCACTGATCTTCACTGGAAGGCGGCGAAGCGGGTGCTGCGCTATCTTCAGGGCACCAAGTCTCACGTTCTCACACTCGGTGGGCTCTCCCCTCCTCGCCTGGAAGGTTACAGCGACTCCTCCTGGGCTGATGACCAGACCGACCGACGCTCCTCTCAGGGGTACTGCTTCAACCTTGGGAGCGGAATTGTCAGTTGGCGCTCCACCAGGTCGTCTGCAGTCTCCCTCTCCTCATGTGAGGCAGAGCTCTACGCAGGTACCATGGCTGCTCAGAAGGCCCGTTGGCTCACCTTCCTACTCCAGGAGCTTGGTTTCCCACAGTCCACCCCCACCCTTTGGTGTGACAACCAGAGTACCATCCACATCTCTCAAGACCCTGTGTATCACACCCGCACCAAGCATATTGAACTCCGGCACTTCTTCATCCGTGACCTTGTCCAGCAGGAGCAGTTGACAGTGGAGTACGTTGCATCTGACTGCAACTTGGCTGATCTGTTCACCAAGCCCCTTGGGAAAGTTCCCCACCACCGTCTCCTTGGCGCCATGGGGCTCTGTGCTCCACCCTCTCTGCCCTGAGTTCGATTGACGCCTATGGGGGGGGGTGTTAGTGTTAGCATTCAATCTCACACTTTGTGCTTTGTATTTTCTATATCCTAGAGTAGTGTAGTTTGCACATTGTGTTTGGTTGGGTGTACACCTACATCCCAACCAAACCCAATTGTAATCTCCAAGCAATCTCCAACCCACCAATTGGAGATTGCCTTGGGATTACCCCCAATCCCTAGGGATTGCCTCTGATTCCCCTCCCCAACTATTCCTTACCCTTCTTGGATGTACTTAAAGAGCTTCAAGCTCATTACTAATGTATCGCTTCTAAGCCTAGGTTCTCACACATGCACCTCTCTGCATGTTTCTTCCTTGCCTCTCACACACATCAGGTGGTGAGACGGCGCAGGCTGAGCACGGCAGCACACATGGTGTTTGAGCCGGTGTTTGATGCGTTTGAGCACCGCGGCAGCAAGCAGTTCCTCAAGCAGCTCACCTTCCAGCACCCCCTCATCACCACTGAGATCGCCCACGTGCCCACCCACACCGTCAACTGACACGTCATGTGCATCAAGGTACGTTCGTGCGCGCGCGCGCACATCAGGGTAGGTGTGTGGGGGGGACGGGAGAGAGGGGGGTGCCTGATGGTCCGTCAAAGGCAACCATTTCTTCCATCACCATGGAGATCGCTGAAGTGCCCACCCCACACTGCCAGTAGACACGTGCGTGTGTGGTGTGTGCGCGTGCGTGCGTGCGTGCATGTGTGCGTGCGTGTGTGCGTGCGCGTGTGTGGAAAGTGGCATCTGTACCTCGATTCAATGTGTCTGCCCGTAATCACTCAAATTCTCATTACTGATTTCTGCCTGTCGTAATTCCACCACCCTCTCCTCTCTCCCTTCCTCTCTCCCTTCCTCTCTCCCTTCCTCCCTCCGTCCGTCCCTCCCTCCCTCCCTCCCTCCCTCGTTGACCCTCATCCTGCATCCGCCAACCTGCAGGGGGACAACGACGAGGACATGGACGACCCGGCGCGCAACCAGTACACGCTGCTAGACTTCGCCTCCGTGCCGCCCGACGCCGGCCACCTCTCAGGCAGCACCTTCATCGCGCACAACCAGTGGGGCTTCGAGGGCCGCTTCACGCTGCTGCACCTCGCCTCCTCCCTCGCCACCTGGCGCCGCTCCCACGGCTGCTTCGGCCCCGCCCGCCTCATGCTCTTCCAGGACGGCATGCTCCGCACGCAGGTGGGCTGCCTGCTGCTTCTGGGGTTGCTGTGTGGAGGGCGGATATGTGTGCCTCTTTCCCCCTCTCCCTCGCTCCCACGGCTGCTTCGGCCCCGCCAGGCTCTTCAAGGACGGCATGCTTCGATTCGGACGCACGTGGTCTGCCTGGGTCTGCTTGGTTGGTTGGTGGGTGGGTGGATTGGCTGGGGGGGTTGGTGGTAGTGGAGGGGGGTTATGTGTACGTCTTTCTCTCTTTCTCTCTCGCTCCCGTATCTGCTTCGGCCTTGTCAGCCAGGCCCATGCACTTTCAGGACGATATGCTTAGGACGCAAGTGGGTGGGTTGGGCAATTGTGCGTGGGTTATCTAGAGGGGAGAATTGTACGTGGGTTATCTGGAGGGGGGAATTGTACGTGGGTTATCTGGAGGGGGGAATTGTACGTGGGTTATCTGGAGGGGGGAATTGTACGTGGGTTATCTGGAGGGGAAAATTGTACGTGGGTTATCTGGAGGGGAAAACTGTACGTGGATTATCTGTAGGGGGGAATTGTACGTGGGTTATCTGGAGGGGGGAATTGTACGTGGGTTATCTGGAGGGGGGAATTGTACGTGGGTTATCTGGAGGGGAAAATTGTGTGAGAGAAGGAGTTAGGAATGAAGTTGATGACTTGATTGAGAATCATGGGGGTATACATAGTAATGGGGTTGGATGCTAACCTAAGGTGACATTATTGGACCCCAACCAAAAAGTTGGGTTGGGAGATTATTGGTGGGGTCCAATAATGTTGGCCAAGTTGAGGTTGGGCCAACATTATTGGAGGGGGCCAATAATTCTACCCAACCCAACCTTTTGGGGTCCAATGATTGGACCAAGGTTGGGTTCCAACCTACAAACTGGGTTACCCCTGTTTGTACACCCAGACTAAGTTTGGGTGGTTAACTCTAGCCTGTCCTAGGGATGAGCAAGTGGCGAACACGAACGTGTTCGTGTTCGCCCCTACACGAACACCTTCGTTTGCCGAACCGAACACTGTTCGGTTCGGCGAACACTTTGAGCAAAAAATGGTGTTCGCCGTTCGCCTGTGAAGGCGTGTTCGGGCGAACCTCGAACACTGCTCGTGTTCGTCGCGGGCAAATTGCAGCAGCGGCCCGAACACGAACGTGTTCAGGCGAACATCGAACACTGTTCGGCGAACATTTTAAGCCACGTTCGAGGCGAACCGAACAGGTGTTCGTGTTTTTGCTCAACCCTAGCCTGTCCTATAACATATATGCAGGTTACAAGAGGAGAGGGATTCTAACACAACCCCTTAACCTGCAGAGATGCGGAAAGGCTTGAGGGAAGCAACCCCTGAATCAAGGCGCGCCTGGGGGAGCGAGGCCAATAAGGCGGAGAAGAGCAGAGTGGGCAGGGCGAAGAAGGGCTTTGGTAAAGATATCAGCCAAGTTGGCTTCAGCAGCGATCTTGCGAACGGCAATGAGGTTCTGTTGGACGAGTTCGTAGATGAAGAAATAGCGGAGCTCAATGTGCTTGGAGCGACCATGAAAGACGGGGTCCTGGGTGAGATGGATAGTGCTAGCGTTGTCACACCAGAGCGTAGGATAGCGCTGGGGTGCACCAAGCTCTGCCAGAAGAAAGCAGAGCCAGCGGGACTCTTGCGCAGCCATGGTGCCAGCATAGAGCCCAGCTTCGCAGGAGGAGAGGGCGACGGCAAATGAGCGAGTGGAACGCCAGCTGATAAGCCCGCTGCCGAGCGTGAAGCCATAGCCTTGTGAGGAGTGGCGGTCTGGCTGGGAGTCTGCCCAGGAGGAGTCGCTGAAGACAGAGAGAAGGGGAGGGGAGGATCCACCCAATGTGAGGGCGTGATCCTTGGTGCCACGGAGATAGCGGAGGACCCGCTTGGCGGCAGCCTAGTGGTCCTCAATGTGGCGGCCGGAGCCGACGAACCGAGCAAGGACGCTGATGGGGTAGGCGAGGTCGGGACGAGTGCACATCAGGGCGTACATCAGCGACCCAACAAGCTTGGCATAGGGCCGGGAGGAGGTGGAGGGGGAGGTGGGTGGCGCAAGCTGGTGACCGAAGGGGAGGGGGGTGGAGACCGGTTTGGCATGCGCCATCTCGAACTTCTCCAGGACCTGGCCGATGTAGTGGGACTGGGAGAGGGTGATGGTGCGGGCGGATCGATCATGAGTGATAGCCATGCCGAGGTTGTTCTGCAGCGGACCAAGGTCCTTGCACTTGAGACGTTCCTGAAGTGACCGCTTTACTTGCTCCATGTCGGCCTTGGTGTCAGCGAGCAGGATCATGTCGTCAACGTAGACCGAGATGAAGAAGCGACGGGGGGAAGAGCGGATGAAGAGGCTGGCATCGGAGTGGGAGGCGGGGAAACCAAGGGACTGGAGAGTGGCAGACAGATTCGCATGCCATTCTCGTGGTGCCTGTTTCAGGCCGTAAATAGGTCGCCGAAGTTGCCAGACGGTGTTGTCAGGGAAAGCAGCATGAAACCCGGGAGGCCTACGGAGGAAGATACGCTCGTGCAATTCGCCTTGCAGAAACGCGTTGGAGACGTCCATGGAGTCAATCTCCATGTCGTCACGCGCACCAATATCCATAAGGGTGCGTAGGGTGGCCTGCTTGACAGTGGGGGCAAATGTGAACCAGTAGTCTTCAGCCCAGGTCTGGGTGAACCCCTTGGCAACGTAGCAGGCTTTGTAGACTCGTTCTTCTCCCGGCAGCTGCTTGACTCGAAAAATCCACTTGCCCTCGACAAGGTTGGCGTCAGGGGGGAGGGGAACGTCGATGAAGGAGTCGTTGCGGATAAATGCCTCACATTCCAGGAAGATGGCGGCTATCCACTTGTCAGCGTCAGGGCAGGTGATAGCCTCCTGGAAGGTGGAGGGGACGAAGATGGTGGGAGCGGAGATCGCGCTAAGGATTAGAGCGCCGAGGAGGCCAGGGTAGAGCGTGGTGAGAGAGGGAGTGTGGCGCTGGACCATGGCGAACTCCTCATGGGAATCCTCGAGCTAGTTTAGGGAGGGAGGTGGCGGTGTGCCAAGGATGGGATCAAGGGGGCGGGTGTGCATGCGAGGGAGGAGGAAGGGTGAGGAGCGGGCAATTGCCCTCTGCCGCTGCTGCTGCTGGTGCTGCTGGAACCCCTGCTGCTGCTGCGGCTGCTGCTCCTCCCGATGCTGCTGCCCCTGCTGCTGCTGCTGCCCCTGCTGCTGCTACTGTTGCTGCTGTTGGGACGGAAGAGAAGGAGAGGGGGGAGGGGAGGAGGGAGGGGGGCCCACGGAGTGTGCAGGGGATGCAGGAGCAGTGGGATCATAGATGTCGGCAGATGAAGGTGGCAGAAGCGGAGTAGGGAGAGGTGGGAGAAGGGGTGCAGGGGGGAGGAGGGGAGGGAGCACAGTGTTGATCCAGGTGAGAGGACGTGTAGGAAGAGGGAGGGGGTCTGGTGGTGAAGAGGAGTAGTAGGGGGTGGTTTCGTCAAAGACGACGTCAATGCTGCGGATAAGGCGTCCAGAGGGAGGGTGAAGGAAGAGGTAGCAAGGCGAGTCGCGGTTGTGCCCGAGGTAGACACACTCGAGGGCGCGAGAAGCGAGCTTGCCGTGGGTGCGATCGGGTGGAGGGATAAATACATATGCCTTGCAACCCCAGACACGGAGACCAGCAGCGTCAGGTTTGGTGCCTGACCGGAGTTCCGTGGGGGTGGTGGTAGTATGTTGAGGATGGGAGTGAAGGTTGAGGAGGAGGGCAACGTGGAGCAGAGCATAGCCCCAAAGGGAAGGAGGGGTGGAGGCGTGAGCGAGGAGACAGCGAGCAATCTTGGTGATTTCGCGAATCCTGCTTTCTGCGACACCATTCTGCTGCGGGGAGTGGGGAAGGGTGTGAGTCTGTTGGATGCCATGGGTGGTGCAGTAGTGGGAGAGAGTGCGATTGAGGAATTCGCCTCCCCCATCAGAGTGTAGGCGGCCGACGGGACGCTTGAAGTGGGCGCGGCATTGCTCTGCCCAAATGATGATCATGGTCGGCGCCTGGTCTTTCGTGTGGAGGAGGAAAATGGAGGAGTAGCGGCTGTGGTCGTCTACTAGGACCAGCACGTAGCGATGGCCCTGACGGGAACGAGTGGGGGAGGGTCCCCAGAGGTCCATATGGACTAGGTCAATTGGAGTGGGAGCAAAGGATGGGTGGCTGTGGTGGGGAGACTGTTTGAGTTTGCCGTGGATGCAGGAGGGGCATGGAGGGGCTGGAGAGGAAGGGAGGGGAGGAAGAGTGGGAGGGAGGCTGTGAAGGAGGCGAGAGGAGATGGCAGTGCGGAGAGCGGCGAAATTGGGGTGGCCGAGTCGGTGATGTAGCACTACAGCTTGGTGGGAGAGATGATCGGAGGTGGAGGGGGTTGGAGTGAGGGAGGGTGAGAGAGGGGGAGGTGAGTGTTGTTGCTGCTGTTGCGGCTGCCCCTGCTGCGGCGGCTGCAGTTGCTGCTGCTGCTGTGGCCCCTACTGCTGCCCTTGCTGTGGCGGCTGTTGCTGCTGTCGCGGAGGTGAGGTAGGGGGATGGGGAGGGTTAGTGGAGGTGCCAGCACGAGTGGTGACATGGCAGAAGGATGGCCAAGGGGTGCGGAGAGTGTAGAGGCGAGTGCGGGGGCAGAGGGGAATGCGTAAAAGGAAGCGACCGGTGGCGGTGTGGTAGAGGTCACAGTAGGTGGCATTACCTGGATAGACGGCAGTGATACCTGCATTTTGGATTTCACGGTGGGAGAGGAGGTTGTTACGGAGGGTGGGGATGTGGAGACCAGTTACCTTACCAGAGGGGAAGAGTGTGCAGGGGAGAGTGGAGAGGTGTGTGCATGGGATGGTAAAGCTGCTGTCAGCGCCGTGAACCTGAGTGGGAGGAGAGAAGGGTGTGAGTGTACCAGCATCCTTGAGAGCGGTCTTAGTGGCCCCACTATCGAGGACGAAGTCCAGAGTGGGTGAGGAGGAGGAAGAGACTGAGTACTGGAAAGTGGTTTTATTAATGTTGGATGGGTACATGGAAGAAAAAGAGGGTGAGATAGTAATGTTGCCAAGAAAGCTGTCCTGGGAAAGAGGAGTGGCAGTGCTACTAAGGGGAGGTGGAGTACCCCAAAGGGGGGCCGGTGAGGCCTGAGCGGCTATGGCTGCTGTGCCAAAATTCAGTTGTTGCTGCTGCCAAGGAGGAGGGCTGGGTCCCCACTGGGGCTGGAGTCCAATTCCCCATGGGTGCTGCTGCGGGTGCGGCTGCTGCTGCTGCTGTGGCTGCTGCTGAAACAGCTGTTGCAGTTGATGCTGCTGCTGCTGCTGCTGCTGCTGCAGGAGATGCTGCTGCTGAAGATTGAGGAAAGGTGTGGGAGGAGCAAGGAGGCGGAGGTGGGCAGGGAGGTAAGCGGGGTTGGTTTGGATGTCGGCAAGAGAGGGACGTGGGGAAATCGTGCCCCACTTTGGAGGAGTGCCAACGTTACCTCGTGCGTACCAGGCATCGTCGAGAGCCTTGAAGCAAGTGCCAGGGGGATGGTTGGTCTGACCGCAGGGTGTTCCAGCCTGGGGACCATAGCGGCGGACATAAGTGCAGGGAGGAAGAGTGCCAGGACGACTCCCGCGGCTCGCAGAGGCTCCGCCTGAATTGGTGGTGCCATGCTCATCCCCTGTGGTGCCACCACGGCTGCTTGCGCTGCTGCTTCCGTGACCGCCACCTCCCTTGCCCCCACCTCCTCCTTTGCCGTTGTTCTTGCTCTGCTTGCGGGGCTGGGTAGCGTTGAGGGAGGAGGAAGAGGGTTGGGAGGAGGCGAGGTTGACAATGGGAGTGCGGAGTTTGACTTCAGTATCAACGGAGGCGAGATCAGCCATGGGATTGGCTTCGGTAAAGGCGTGAAGGCGGGATTCATAGTCTGGGGTGAGGTTAAAAAGGAGGCGGTGGATTTGGAGGGGTTCGGAGAGGCCGGCTTGGCGGGCTTCGAGGCGATTAGCTACCTCTCTCATGCGTCCGGCATAGTCAACCGCTCCGTCACAGGTGGCGAGGGTGATTGAAAAGTATTCTTGAAAAAGGATGCCGACGGAACTGATGTCGCGGCGCTCAAACATGGCATGGAGTTCTGCCCAGATGACCGAGGCACGGAGTTCCCGAGCCTGGAAGCGGCGCATGAGGGAGTCAGGGAGAGCACCAAGGAGAACGGTGCAGGCGCGGGTGTCAGCAGCTGTCCATGCGATAAGTTTTGGGGTGAAGGCAGCCATGTCGTCGTTGTAGTTGGCGACGATGGCGAGGTGAGCATTGCGGCCAGCAACCACCTGGTCATAGGCGTCAACTGCTGCATCGTACTCGGTTTTGCGGATAAGGTATGCACGGCGACGTAAGATGAAATCTGCATCAGCGGTGGCTTGGTCGGTGGTTAGCTGGAGGTCGGGTTCAAGAGGGGGATCGCCAGGAGAGGGAGGGAGAGAAGGAGTCTCGCCGGGGTGATCAGGTTCGGTGGGGGGGAGGGCATGGGGACGGCGGAGGATGACGTCAAGGACGCGGTAGGGGGGAACCCATGCGTCGGAGAGGACCCGTCGGATGCTGCCGACGAATGAGTGCCAGTTGACGGCGGATTCGTCTGCTGCGAGCTGCAGTTTATCGATGGAGGAGGGATCAATAGGAGGAGGGAGGGGGGGAGGGGGAGGGTGTGGCGTTAGCCATGATGGACGGCTGCGGGTGGACCCGCAGTGGTCACGGAGGAGAGCGGCGCGGGCGGCAGCGGTTGGCGAGGCCGCGGCGGCGTTGGCGCGGAGGCGGCGTCGAGGCCGCGGAGGAGAGTGGCGCGGGCGGCAGCGGCTGGCAAGGCCGCGGCTGCACTGGCGCGGAGGCGGCGTCGAGGCCGCGGAGAGGAGCAGCGCGGGCGGCAGCGGCTGGCGAGGCCGCGGCTGCGCTAGCGCGGAGGCGGCGTCGAGGCCGCGGAGTGGCGCAGGTGGCGGCGGCTGGCGAGGCGGGCGCGGAGGCGGCGTCGGGGCCGCGGAGGGGAGCGGCGCGGGCGGCAGGCGGTTGGCGAGGCCGCGGCTGCGCTGGCGCGGAGGCGTCATCAAGGTCGCTAAGTGGCGCGGGCGGCGGCGGCTGGCGAGGCCGCGGCGAGGCGGGCGCGGAGGCGGCGTCGGGGCCGCGGAGGGGAGCGGTGCGGGCGGCAGGCGGCTGGCGAGGCCGCGGCTGCGCTGGCGCGGAGGCGGCGACGAGGCCGCGGAGGGGAGCGGCGCGGGCGGCGGCGGCTGGCGAGGCCGCGGCGAGGCGGCCGCGGAGGCGGCGTCGAGGCCGCGGAGAGAAGCGGCGCGGGCGGCAGCGGCTGGCGAGGCTGCGGCGAAGCAGGCGCGAAGGTGGCGACAAGGCCGCGGAAGGGAGCAGCGCGGGCCGCAGCGGCTAGGGAGGCCGCGGAGCTGTGGAGGGAAAGGGCGCTAAAGGGGGGGGAGGGCGGCAGGATAGCCGCGAGGAAAAAAAAATGAGGGAGGAGGCCGGGGGTTGCGGCGGCCGGGTGGGCCTTTGAAACGAGTGGGGTAGGCCTAGGATTGATAGCTCTATACTATGTGAGAGGAGTTAGGAATGAAGTTGATGACTTGATTGAGAATCATGGGGGTATACATAGTAATGGGGTTGGATGCTATCCTAAGGTGACATTATTGGACCCCAACCAAAAAGTTGGGTTGGGAGATTATTGGTGGGGTCCAATAATGTTGGCGAAGTTGGGGTTGGGCCAACATTATTGGAGGGGGCCAATAATTCTACCCAACCCAACCTTTTGGGGTCCAATAATTGGACCAAGGTTGGGTTCGAACCTACAAACTGGGTTACCCCTGTTTTGTACACCCAGACTAAGTTTGGGTGGTTAACTCTAGCCTGTCCTATAGCATATATACAGGTTACAAGAGGAGAGGGATTATAACAAATTGTACGTGGGTTATCAGGAGGGGGGAATTCTACGTGGGTTATCTGGAGGGGGAAATTGTACGTGGGTTATCTGGAGGAGGGAATTGCACGTGGGTTATCTGGAGGGGGGAATTGTACGTGGGTTATCTGGAGGGGGGAATTGTACGTGGGTTATCTGGAGGGGGGAATTGTACGTGGGTTATTTGGAGGGGGGAATTTTACGTGGGTTTTCTGGAGGGGGGAATTGTACGTGGGTTATCTGGAGGGGGGAATTGTACGTGGGTTATCTGGAGGGGGGAATTGTACATGGGTTATCTGGAGGGGGGAATTGTACGTGGGTTATCTGGAGGGGGGAACGGTACGTGGGTTATCTGGAGGGGAAAATTGTACGTGGGTTATCTGGAGGGGGGAATTGTATGGAGGGGGGAAGTGTACATGGGTTATCTGGAGGGGGGAATTGTACGTGGGTTATCTGGAGGGGGGAATTGTACGTGGGTTATCTGGAGGGGAAAATTGTACGTGGGTTATCTGGAGGGGGGAATTGTACGTGGGTTATCTGGAGGGGGGAATTGTACGTGGGTTATCTGGAGGGGGGAATTGTACGTGGGTTATCTGGAGTGGGGAATTGTACGTGGGTTATGTGGAGGGGGGAATTGTACGTGGGTTATCTGGAGGGGGGAATTGTACGTGGGTTATCTGGAGGGGGGAATTGTACGTGGTTATCTGGAGGGGGGAATTGTACGTGGGTTATCTGGAGGGGGGAATTGTACGTGGGAATGGAGGGGGGAATCGTACGTGGGAATGGAGGGGGGAATTGTACGTGGGAATGGAGGGGGGAATTGTACGTGGGAATGGAGGGGGGAATTTTACGTGGGAATGGAGGGGGGAATTGTACGTGGGAATGGAGGGGGGAATTGTACGTGGGAATGGAGGGGGGAATTGTACGTGGGAATGGAGGGGGGAATTGTACGTGGGAATGGAGGGGGGAAAGTCTGTTCTCTCCCGCCCTTTCTCTTCTGCGCACTCGCATGCATGCATGGGGGGAATTGCGATGGTGCTGCGCGGCAGGCAAGGCAACAGTTGCTCAAGCCACGCACTGCACGGGGTGCCGCCGCAGTGGTGTTCTCGAGCAGACCTCGGCGCGACACTTACTCAAGCAACAGGATTCAACTTCATCACGCGGGCCCCTAGTTTTGAAGACGGTTTTCACACCTGTGACTGCCCGTCTCAAATTAGGGGTACTTTTGAGGCGCCTCAAAATTCGTCTCTCTACCCGCAATTTTTATATTGATCGAATTCTTGTTGCTTGGAAGTGTGCACGTAACGTGCAACAGTGCCTGGTTCGCGCGAGGTTACCACCACCCAATTCCAAGACTGCCGAAGACAAACCCGAAGAGTGACTGGACACCTAGGAATTTTCTTTTGTGTCTAGTTGGCGCATTTCTTATCTAGTTACGCGCCCGGGGTAGGATTTCCCTGTGTAGATCTCGAGGCTTGGGTGTTCTTTAAGACCCCTTGCTTGTTCGCTCTTTCACTTTGAGCTCTTGCACTGATGAAGGCCTAGCGGGTATGATCCCCGTGCAAAGCCGAAACATGTTTGCTTTCGTCTAGAGTTTGAACTGAGTTGTACGTTCGGATCTTAATCAATTTTTTCGAGGGTTACTTTTTTCACTGGTTGACTATTGTCCCTTTGCTAAGGGCGACCTTGCCTACTGCTGCCCTTCTTCATGAGCACAGATCGGTGCCGCCGCAGTGGTGTTGCGGCATCCACCTCTCCTCCACACCAACTTAGAAATTTTCCCCTCTCACCCCCCCTCCTCTTCTCCCCTTCCCCCCCTCTCACCTCCCCTCCTCTTCTCCCCTTCCCCCCCTCTCATCCCCCCTCCTCTTCTCCCCTTCCCCCCCTCGCCGTCTCCCTGTTCCCTTCCCTCCGTTCCACTGGCACCCCACCGCACAGATATCAGCGTGGGCCAGCAACCTGCTCAAGGCAGTGCTGGGGCCGGGAGCAGCGCCGCCGTTCAAGCCACCGGACGGGGTGACGCCGCAGTGCCTGGAGAACGCAGTGGTGCTGCGGCAGCGGGACACCTTCGACGCCGATGAGTGCAGCAGCGACGCTCAAGAGCTGCGACGGATTGTCCGTGCCTTTTGCCAGTGAGTGGCGCTGTGAAGAGTGCTGGAATACTCTGTTTCTGACTTGCGCCTTGACGAGTGTGTGTGTGCTTGATTCGACTTAAAGCAATGTCTGGAGAATGCGGTGGTGCTGTGGCAGAGGAACACCTTCAACGCTGATTAGTGCAACAGCGACGAGCACAAACTCATGTGAAATTACACGAGCTTTGAGGCGCCTTAACACTCGCCTCACCCGAAATCTCAACATTCTCAAGAATGCATACGAGAGAACTCATGTCGCTTGACTTCCCGCACTGCTCGCTTCCCACCTCTTCCCTCCATTTGTCCATCATTCCCCCCCCAAAACACCTGAGTACCAGCAGTGCAAGCACCGGAGGACCCCTCTCCACTGCTGGAGGAGGAGGGCATGGACGCAGCAACTCATACACAAGATGTGAGGCCATTCAACCTTCTCCACTTCCCCCCTCCCAACTCCTCCCTCTGTACCCCCTTCTTCCACTGTCCACAGCACCCGGGTGCCAGCAGTGCCAGCACTGGAGGACCCGCCAGCGCTGCTGGGGGAGGAGGGCATGGACGTGCGCATTGCGTTTGCGGGCGACGCGGACAACTGGGCACGCATGCCGTGGTTCAACTTCTCCCTCGCCGCCACCTGGATCCGCCAGGAGTGCGCCGTCTTCTCTCTCTCCTGCGAGGTCGCCACGGTGCCAAGAGGGGAATTCTGCCGTGTCAAGGTGAGCGCCTGTGCCTGTGGGTCAACTGTCAAGGGATGCTGCAGAAGGCCAGTCAGCGCTGTTGCCCTCCCGTCCTGCCCTCTCTCTCACCTTCTTCTCTCCTCCGCTTCTCTTCTTCCACCTTCCTTTCCTCTTCCCTTTCCTCTGCTTTTCTCTCAGCTCTCTCTCGCTTCTCTCTCAAGTCCCTGTTCTGAACTCACCAGACTTCTTTCATCTCACAGGTTTCTTCTCTTCACAACCCTATCCTCGTTATAAGCTCTAACCCATTCTTCTGTCCCCCTGCTGCATCTCACTCCCCACAGGTTTTGGGCCTGGGCCGAGTGGACATCGTGATTGGTCCGTGGGGAGACCGGGCTTTGGACAACATAGTGTTCCTGCTGCCCGGCACAGCCGTGCTGGAGCTGTAACCATCCAACGCACATGAGGACGACCGCAAGACCGCCAAGCTCGAGGCCGAGTGCCTTGACCTTGCTTATGAGCAGGTGGGGGGTCGTGGTCAGGTGGGGAATGGCGAGCAGGTGAGGTGGTTCGATTGAACAGGTGAATTGTAATGTCACTCCCTGTCATCTCACCCCCTTCCCCCGTCGCACACATGCATGCATGAGCTCTCACACCGCACTCCTTACCTTCCCTGTCCTCCCCCCTCGGCCCCTCAGATGCGCATGGACGTGGCAATGAAGGACGTGCTGTCGTGGGTGAGCAAGCACCTGGAGACGCTGGGGCGCCGGCAGAAGGGCGGCGCAGAGGAGGGCGAGCCCACCTTCCTCGAGACCTGCGTGCACCGCAACCTGCGCTACTGAGTGGGCGAGACGAGGGAAAAGAGGGAGTAGAGGGAAATCGAGGGGGGGGGATCACTTTTGAGAATTCTCGAACTGCAACCTGCAATACCGAGTGGGCGATGGGGAGGGGAAGAGGGAAATCGAGAGGGGGGAAGGGATGAGCCCACCTTTTATAAGTCCTGTGTGCAACGCTACCTGCTGTACTGAGTGGGCGATGAAGAGGGGTGGAGGGATTGGGAAGGGGGAAAGAGGGGACGAGGGGGAGGGGGTGGGAGAGCCCACCTTTCGTAGTGTCTGTTTTGGGAAGCGGAATGAATGAACTAGGCAGGATGGGGATACAAATAGGGAACCCTAAAGAGGGTTGTGCCCTCTAAGAAGCACCTCCATGTTAAAGCATGAAACATCGGAATGTGTTCACTAGCAAGGGTTCAGAAACATATACCAACCCTAAAAGGGTTGTACAGTGTACTTGGGGGGTTTTTTTATCAGTGTTATTTACTCTGTTTCTTTGAAAATCAGAGTGGTTCTTTATAGGGCACTCTGTACCTCCTGGGTAATTTTCTAGAGTTACTTCTCTAATCTGTAATGGCACTCTGAAGGGCCAGGGTTTTGTTCCGGGATACCGAGTTTACTCTGTACAGGGGATACTGTCAAAATGTTATAATGCTTATATTGTTTAGGCTGTAGTGCAGGCCCTCAGATTTCAGGAATTTTACCCTGATTTTGACTTTGAACCCTAATTTTCAAGGTTTTTTTTTTTACCCAACACTGATGAAAAGGTTTTTTTTTTCCTGTTCATACTTTATTTCCAGCGAGAAATTTTGTACAAGGCCTGAAATTTCAGCTTAAAGCCCGCGTCCCAAATTGCGGACCGCGAGGGTCAAGTTTTTAAAACTTGACGAAGTTGAGTGTCCAAGCTTTTGAAAGTCACTCACCTGCAATTTGGGACTTTCGAAGACAGATTCACTCACCAGGGGGAAAACTGAGGGTTGGCTGGGTCTCGCGAAAAAAACGAGCCTAGACGAAATTGCGAACTCTCGCCAAAGCCTACACCAGAAAAATTCCATCTGGTCAACTTTTAAAAGCATGAACAACTTGGGCCGCCGGCTTTAAATTTGGTAGAGGACCCTGATTCGAATCATACAGTAGCGAGGCCATCCTCGATGCTGACTTAGCCTAGATTCAATGGATACAGCAAAATTTTCGCCCGGATTTTCCGCCGTCACCGTCAATAACGGGAAACGACATCTTTGTTGTACTTCCACTCTCACCTCACTTAATGTGTTGTCGCCATCATCTTTCAAATTCTGGTGTGATTGGGCAGTTTCGGCTAATCACACGCCGTACCCAATCACGTTGCCAGGACCGGCAAGATTCCACGGCTTGTCGGTTTTAACCGAGTCGCTGTGGAATCTGGACGTAAACATGGGCACGGCATGATCGTTTTCGTGGATGTGCCATCGGGGACCATCCACATCTGCATGGTGGGGTTTGTTTGTGAGTGTCAACCAATCACGTGCGAGGTGGGGTGTCCCTCCCTTGCCCATCTTCTTCTCCCCGTTCTTGGATTGTGTTTGATGTGCTTCACTCTCTGTTTTCTCGGCTGACTCTCTCCACCTTCTCCTCTCATCCTTACTGCCACCATGGCTCTTCCCATGGACTGCGATGCTGTAGGCGACGAGCCTGACGACATTGAGGGCGAGATAGCACGCACGGGTCTAGACCTGTTGATGTGCTCGCTTTCCAAAGCAACCAATCCCCGGCGTAGCAAGAACCATACACATACTACACCTACAGCAATTCCTACCGTTACTTCCGCCCCACCAGATTCGATTGGCGCCACAATCTTAGATAAAACTACGCCACGCACGAATCTAGAGATTGGTGCCATATTTTATAACATCACTCCAGTGTTATTAAATATTCTTGTTTTTTGTGACCGCAGGGGTCGACAAGAAGAGAGCATTCCAGGAAGTGCGGCTGTTCATCCCCCTACTTGCACATGCATCGAAGACCGAGCGCGGGTTCCACACGGGCCTCACCGCCATGCTCAAGACCAAGGACTGGCAGGAGCACTACCCGAACCTGGTGCGGCTGTAGGTGGCGGTGTCGGTTCTGCCGCTGAGCACCGTGGAATGCGAGCGCGGGTTCTCGCGGCAGAATGTCATCAAGTCCTGGTAGCTAGGCAGCCTCAAAGATGCTCAGCTCAGCGACTTGATGTGCATGTCGTTGCTCCGTTACAAGCCGAAATGGGATGAGATTGTGGAGATCTGGCGCAACTACAAGAAGCGGAAGCCGTTCAACACAAGCAACATAGCCAGGCAGGAGGCGGATAGGAGGCGGAGAGGTAAGGAGGAGGAGGAGGCTGATGGAGATGAGGCCAACCCGGTAGACCTAGATGTAGAGGCTGAGGGAGATGGTGGCGATTATGACGAGGATGAGATGAGATGTGGTATGGTAGGTAGGAGGCATCTATAATCATGTTAGTAATGCCTTTGCTGTACTTCGTTCATTCATAATATGTAATTTTGTAACATCCCTTCCCTCCCTTGTCATGTCACAATATAACATATCTAACGGCAACGGAGGAGTTATTCAAAAAAAGCCTAAAACTTTGTACCTACCCTGATGGGAAAGTTTTTTTTGTTACCCTACATTGATTTTTCAGGCCTTTTCTTCATAAGGAGGCTGACAGAAAGTTTTTTTTTTTTTTTTTTGTAGCAACACTGACCAGAATGTGTTGTCTAAAACGAATCTGAGGGCCTGCTGTAGTGGGGTAGCCCATAAATGGTACAACCCAATTAGGGTTAGTACTTGTACCCAACTCATTCATAGTTTATTCATTCTCGTTCTTGCCCTGCCCCGCCCTGCCTTGCCTGTCGCGCCGCCCTTTGCAGCCCGTGCGCTGCCCTTTGCAGCCCGCCGCGCTGCCCTTTGCAGCCCGCGCGCCGCCATTTGCAGCCCGCGCACCGCCCTTTGTGTTGGATGCACGTCACTCTGAGTGCACGTCATCCTAACGTCCTACCGAGTGCTCGTGCTAATCATGCATGCAATGTTTGCATGAGCATATAACATTATGCATGGCTGCTGGATATTATCATCTCTGTGTTTTTTCTCCAAGTTTAAATGCTTGATTTGTCAAAATCCCAACCACTAGACCATTGGGATAAAATGGCTTGTTAAGTAGCGGGTTTGTGCGCCCATTACCCCCCAGCCGAACGCGCCTGTAACCCCCCTTAATCAATCGGGCATCCACAGTACAGATCTACTGACATGATCATGCATGAGAAATCCAGGGCTTTCCAACGATACCAAGATCGACTTATTCCGACCAAGATCACCCAAGTTACAAGATTTCTAAGACTCGGATTTCTTATTACTTTTTGGGGTTATGTCTAATATGGGTGATTATTTGGACATGACTATATAGGGATCTTTGGTTGGGTGGTTAGGAAGGCAACTTAGACTTTTGGATTAGGGTGGCTAGACGTTTCTAGTATGGGTTGCAAATGTTGCAACACTTAGGCAAAATCCAACTAGATTGGATTTTGCATGTGACTCCTCAAGGACCTCATGACGAGGGTTGCATCCTTGCTGCTACGAAGGTTCCCACCATCCTTCCCTCTTGGAGAACCATTTCCCTCTCATGGTTCTCTTGGAGTCCCCAACTCCAACATTCTATGCCTTCATGCTTGTAATTCCTCTACCAGTCTAGTCATGCGGCTGCTGGACATTTTCAATTGGTTCTCACTCTATACAGCATCTTTTTAAGTGATTCGAATTCGACATGGTATTAAAGTCAGAGGCGAACAATCCTATAGAGCATATTTGCGTCTAGTCGAGAAATGAATTCGTCGTAAGTTCTTAAAGTGACGGATCCTGAACAACAACTGGTATCATAGCGGATAGTCGACTTTGAGACGACGAATCGTCATCAATTCTCAACCAATGTTAACAAGTTAGACCCGTTTCTAGTAGCTATACGTGCAAACTTTCGATTGGTGGTCAAACTTGTCAAACATAAATGCTTAGTTGTATCTAGGCTTAGTTTATGTGTTAACAGTTGTCTAGGCTATAGTGGGTTTAGCCTTAGGGGGTACACAATTTCTCTCGACATTGTACTTGTACCCCTCCCCCTTTCCTAGTCATTCATCCTCGTCATTCTCGCTAGTATTCTAACATGGTATTAGAGTAGGCTATTCTTGGGCCCACCACCTACTATTTCGTTCCTAGCCCCGCGCCCCGCCCGTACCGCGCCCGTGATAGGCCCGTACCTAGCCTGCGCCCAGCCCAGTCTCCTGCCTGCGCCTGGCCCGTACCTTGCCCGCGCTCGGCGGCCCCTGCGTTTGGCCCCTCGGCCCGTGCCTTCTCACGCCCGTGCCCGGCCCGTACCTAGCCCGCGATCGCCACGTCGACACCCGCGCCTGGCCCCGTACCTAGCCCGCGCCCCGTCGACGCCCGCGACCGGCCCGTACCTAGCCTCGCGCTCGGCCCCGCTCCTAGCCCCGCGCCCGGCCCGTACCTAGCCTCGCGACCGGCCCGTACCCTGCCCGCGCCTGGCCCCGTCTCTCGCCCGCGCTCGGCTTGTACCTAGCCCCGCGCCTAGCCCGTACCTAGCCTAGCGCACGGCCCCGACCCTAACCAGCGCCCGGCCCCGTACCTAGCCCTTGCCCGGCCCCGTCTGTCGCCAGCGCCTGGCCCCGTACCTAGCCCACGCCAGGCCCGTATAACGCCCGCGCCCAGCCCCGTACTTAGCCCGCGCCCCGGCCCCGTACCTACCCAGCGTGCGGCCCCGTACCTGCCCAGCGCCCGGCCCCGTACCTGCCCAGCGCCCGGCCCCGTACCTGCCCAGCGCCCGGCCCCGTTCCTGCCAGTGACCGGCCCCATACCTAGCCCGTGCTAGGCCCCGTTCCTAGCCCAGCGCCCAGCTCAGTCCCTCGCCCAGCGCCCGGCCCCGCACCTAGCCCCGGCCTGACAACACCTGCGCCCGGCCCCTTGTTTGGCCCCGCGGCCCCTAGGCCCCTCGGCCCCACCTCACAGCCCGACGCCTGGCCCCCCGGCCCCTTATTTGGCCCCTCGGCTCCCTAGGCCCCTCGGCCCCCCTAGGCCCCCCCGGCCCCTTGTTTGGCCCCGCGGCCCCTAGGCCCCTCGGCCCCACCTTGGCCCCGTGTGATTGGCCCCTCGCCCCCCCCCTAGGCCACCCGGCCCCATGTTTGGCCCCGCGGCCCCTAGGCCCCTCGGCCCCACCTCAAAGCCCGGAGCCCGGCCCCCCGGCCCCTTGTTTGGACCCTCGGCCCCCCTAGGCACCTTGGCCCCCCCTAGGCCCCCTTGGCCCCTTGTTTGGCCCCGCAGCCCCTAGGCCCCTCGGCCCCACCTCAAAGCCCAGCGTCCCCCCCCCCTCCCCCCCCCCCCACCGGCCCCTTGTTTGGCCCCTCGGCCCCCTAGGCCCCTCGGCCCCCCTAGGCCCCCCGGCCCCTTGTTTGGCCCCGCGGCCCCTAGGCCCCTCGGCCCCACCTCAGAGCCCGGCGCCCGGCCCCTCGGCCCCTTGTTTGGCCCCTCGCCCCCCTAGGCCCCTCGGCCCCCCCTAGGCCCCCAGGCCCCTTGTTTGGCCCCGCAGCCCCTAGGCCCCTCGGCCCCACCTCAGAGCCTGGCGCCCGGTTCCCCGGCCCCTTGTTAGGCCCCTCGGCCCCCTAGGCCCCTCGGCCCCCCTAGGCCCCCCCGGCCCCTTGTTTGGCCCCGCGGCCCCTAGGCCCATCGGCCCCACCTCAGAGCCCTGCGCCCGGCCTCCTGTTTGGCCCCTCGGCCCCTATGGCATCGCTTCGAGTTCTCCCGTTCGACCCGGAAGGCAGACCTGTAGCATTTGACACGTGGCACGACGATCTGCAACTGTACCTACTGAGCAATAGTCGGGACAGTGTCTCATTGTTTGACCACGTGTCCGGTGCCGCTCCAGCCCCTCCCGCCACAGCTGACGTTTCCACTCGTTTCCAGTGGTTGTCTCGTGACGCTACTGCCCGCTTGGCTATTCGCAACCACCTGCCCGCAACCGAATGTGCTCACTTTGGCGAGCACAGGACAGTACAGGCCTTGTACGACGTTGTCGTTGCTCGCTACTCCTCCCCTGCCACTCCTGCTATTGGCAGGCTGCTACTGCCCTACCTGTTCCCTGAGCTGTCAGCTTTGGCCATAGTAGCCGACCTGGTTACCCACCTGCGCACTAGCGACGCTCGCTACCGCGCTACTGTCCTTGCTGAGTTCCTTCCCACGAACCAGCCTCCCATGCATCACCCTCTACTTCATAGTCACTCGCCTCCCTGACTCCCTTCGCTCTGTCTGGGACCACTTTCTCACCCTTGACCCCACTTCCCTCACTGTTGACCTCCTCGAGCAGCATCTCCTCGCAGCTGAGACAAGTGCAGTTGCTGTAGGTGCTGCTCGTGGCACTCCGCGCTCACCCTTCTTTGAGGGGTGCTCCCCCTCCCCCCTTTCCTCCTCCTTCGCCTCTGCTGCTACTGGAGACGTCTCTGTTCCTGAGGACGTCGGTGTTGCTTCGACTAGTACGAAGCGCCGCAACAGCAAGGGCAAGGGTGGCCGGGGTAGTGGAGGAGGCAGCAGTGGTGGTGGAGGTGGCAGTGGGAGTGGTAGTGGGGGCAGCGGTAGAGGAAGCAAAGGCGGTGGAGGTGGTGGCAGCGGTGGGACCGGTGGCGGAGGTGGAGGCTCTGGTGGCGGCGGTGGAGGCAGCGGAGGGAGTGGCGGCAGTAGAGGTGGCGGGACCAGTGGTGGTCGGTCTGGACCTCAGCGTGGAGGCTCTGGTGGTGGTCGGGGCCAGCAGCAGCAGCGTCAGAGCGAGACTCAGATGCCCCAGCATCTCCGTGAGTGGTTGGTTCAGCGTGGGGCGGGTGAGGGTAGTGAGACCTGCCCGTATGTCATTCGCACGGGTGCCCGTGCGGGCCGGACATGCGGGAGGTTTCAAACTGAGTGCCAATGCTTTGCCCGCCTTGACGACGCCTGGCGTACTGAGTTTGGTGATGACGTCGAGCGCCCTCGCTAGGCGGAGTTGCTTAGGTCGGGAGTTGCTATCTTTGACCTAGGCTTTGATGTTATTATCTCTGCCATATATGCTTTGTCTTTTAGTACAGAGGGTGACTGTTACTAGTGTTTGCCGCCTGACCTAGGTATAGCCGCTGCTGCTCTAGGTGCTAGTGCGTCTGGTACTCCCCCTGGTACTGCGCCTGCTGAGGCCCTGCACACCTTCACGTTGGACTCCAGCGCCTCGCGCTGTTTCTTTCGTGACAGCACCACTCTCACTCCTCTTCCTGCACCTATTTCGGTCAGACTGGCTGACCCCTGTGGGGGCCCAGACGTTGCCAGTTCCTCGACTGTCCTCCCGTGTCCGGCGGTTCCGTCCGGCTCATTGTCACGTCTTCACCTCCCCTCGTTCTCTACGAACTCGGTGAGTACCGCTGCCCTTCAGGATGCGATAGTCACTACCACCACTCCTGGGGGTCAGCGTGTGTCGATCTGCACGTGCACACGGACGGGGCGTCACCTAGCTACGTTCACTCATCAGCCATGGTCGAGTCTGTACACCCTGGCTACCGAGCCTCCTCAGGTCGCTGCGTCCGCTCAGGTGTCCGCGTCAGGTCAGGTAACCGCCTCTTGCTCGTGTCGCCTCCTGTCGCACCAGACTCTTCTTTGGCACCACCGCCTGGGTCACCCCTCACAGCCACGCCTTCGTGGCATGCACTCCCGTCTCCTTGTCTCTGGTCTCCCCAGGTCTCTGCCTCCCCTGCCGCCCTCACCTGCCCCGCCCTGTCTTCCTTGCGTCGAGGAGCGGCAGCGCGCCGCTCCTCACTCCTCCTCGTTTCCCCCAACGACTGCTCCCCTGCAGACCCTCCACATGGACGTGTGGGGCCCAGCCCGTGTCAGTGGACAGGGCCACGAGCACTACTTTCTGCTGGTAGTTTGACGACTACACGCGGTACACCACAGTCTTCCCCCTGTGCAGCAAGGGTGACGTCTCTGCTGTCTTGATCCCTTGGATCCCCATAGTCCGTCTCCAGCTGCACGAGCAGTTCGGCCAGGACCTTCATGTCCTGCGTCTGCACTCTGACAGAGGTGGTGAGTTCTCCTACAACCTCCTGCGGGACTTTTGTCGTGGGGAGGGCATTTACCAGTCGTTCACGCTTCCGAACTCCCCTCAACAAAATGGGATTGCTGAGCGCCGCATTGGCTTAGTCATGGAGGTCGCTCGTACCTCCATGATCCATGCGGCCGCTCCCCATTTTCTGTGGCCATTCGTGGTCCGATACGCTGCGCATCAGCTCAACCTTTGGCCCCGTGTCTCCTTGCCGGAGACCTCGCCCACACTGCGTTGGACGGGGAAGGTTGGCGATGCGTCGGTGTTCCGGGTCTGGGGTTCTCGTGCCTTTGTTCGCGATACGTTCGCGGACAAGCTCTCCGCCCGCGCCATTTCCTGCGTCTTCCTTGGCTTTGTCCCTGACGCGCCTGGCTAGCAGTTTTACCACCCCACCTCGCGCCGTGTCCTCCCTTCTCAGGACGTCACGTTCGACGAGTCGGTTCCCTTCTACCGTCTCTTCCCCTACCGCTCTGCCCCTTCCCCGCCCCAGCCGCTCTTCCTTGCTCCCGGTCCACCTCCGGTAGACCCCCTTCCGCCCCAGGGTCCTGCTCCCTTGGGAGTGTCTTAGGTAAACCCTCTCCCTGAAACTGCGCCTGTTCAGGTAGCTATCGTCCCAGGAGCTGCTCCAGGTGCTGCGTCTGGGGGTGCTACGTCTGGGGGTGCGGAGCCGGGGGGTGCGGGTTCTTAGGGTGCTGGGTCTGGGGGTGCTGAGCCTGAGGGTGCTGGGCCTGGGGGTGCTGAGTCAGAGGGTGCAGAGCCTAGGGGTTCTGAGTCGGAGGGTGCGAGGTCTTGGGGTGCTGAGCCTCGGAGTGCTGCTTCGTCTAGAGGTCCTCTGGTGCTTCACCGCGACTGTCCTCGCACCAGCTGCGTGAGTGGCTTGTTCAGCGCCCACACCGTCGGAGTGGAGCCCCTAGGGCTGGCGAGCCTGGAGACACTAGAGCTGGAGGTGCTGCTGTTACTACTGGAGCTGGAGACCCTACGGAGCCTGGAGCAGCTGACGCCGAAAGCGCTGGAGCTGGTATAGCCGGAGTTGGAGGCCCTAGCGCAGGAGGCGCTAAAGCTGAAGGAGCTAGAGCTGTTGACCCTGGAGCTGGAGGTGCTGGAGGCACTGTGCGACCGCGCCCGTACTTCGTTCCCCTGCTTCAGCAGGTTCTTGGTGTCCCGTCTTCTACTAGTCTTCCTCCTCCCTTCCTGTGTCCACCGCCTGACCAGTCACAGCCGCCGTTACAGCCAGCCTTCCCACTGCCTGTTCCCTCTCCTTACACTGAGCAAACTGGCGGTCTTACAGAGCGTCGTGAGCCTGCGACTTGTCCTGTCTCGCCTGTTTGCACTGCTCGTCGCGCTCCTCATTTGCGTCCTCCTCCTGTCCCAAGCACGCACACCATGGCACTCCGTCCTTCCTCTGTTCCACTGCATGTTCCTCTGCCTGCTCCTCCCGAGTCCTCTCTTCCTGAGGTCCCTGACCGTGAGTCTGACCGAGCGCGTGCTGCCAGTCCCACTGTCACTCGTCTCCTTGCCACTGCTGTCACTGACCCGTCCTTTAAGTCTGCTGCTGCTTCTGCTCTCGTTGCTGAGCTACTTAACTTTGCTGCTGCCTGCCGTCTCGTCTACGCCTCTGCTCTAGTTGCTGAGTCTGTGCCTGCCAGTCCTCCGTCCGTCGAGGGTGAGTGTGCTCTTGGCACAGACATCCTTGAGGACAGGCAGGAGGACTTTGAGTATCTTGCAGCTGTTGTACCTCGGTTCGCTTCCTTGCTGCTTGCCCCTGAGGGAGACCCAGATGCTCCAGACATCCCGACCCCGCGCTCTTACGCAGAGGCGATTACGGGTCCTTACACCTCTCAGTGGCAGGTAGCTATGGATGCCGAGATGGCATCCTGGAAGTCCACAGGCACTTACGTCAACGAGGTTCCCCCACCTGGGGTGAACATAGTCGATGGCATGTGGATCTTCAGGGTGAAGCGGCCGCCGGGTTCTCCGCCTGCCTTCAAGGCGCGCTATGTTGCTCGAGGTTTCAGTCGGCGACAGGGAGTTGATTACTTCTAGACCTTCTCCCCCACCCCGAAGATGACTACTCTTTGGGTGTTGCTGCACGTAGCTGCTCAGCGTGACTATGAGTTACACTCCCTGGACTTCAGTACAGCCTTCCTGCAGGGCAGTCTGCATGAGGAGATCTGGATGGACCGAACACCTGGTTTCACTGGGTCGTTTCGTGCAGGTACTCTGTCGAGCCTCCGCCGGCCAGTCTACGGTCTCCGCCAGGCGCCTCGTGACTGCCACGACACACGCAGGATTACACTTGCGGCTCTTGGGTTTGTTCCTTTTACAGCAGACCAGTCGCTGTTTCTACGCACCGAAACCTGGCTATCGCCCTTCTACGTCCTAGTGTACGTTGACGACCTCGTCTTTGCCACGGCTGACACCGAGGCACTGACCCTAGTGAAGTCTGAGCTGCATAAGAGACATACCTGCGCTGACCTGGGTGAACTGCGCAGCTATCTTGGCCTGCAGATCACTCGGGACAGACCACGGCGCACCATCACACTGACTCAGTCACACATGGTGCACCAGGTCCTTCAGCGCTTCGGCTTCCACTACTCCTCACCAGAGCTCACTCCTCTGTCTACCAGCCATTCGCTCTCAGCTCCACCTTCGGACGAGTCCGTAGAGCCGAGTGGTCCGTACCCAGAGCTTGTGGGTTGCCTCATGTACCTGATGACTTGCACAGGACCTGACCTCGCGTACCCTCTCAGCCTTCTGGCTCTCTACGTGGCTCTCGGTAGGCACCGAAAGGTGCACTGGGATGCTGCGAAGAGGGTATTGCGTTACTTGTGCAGTACGTCGGGCATGGGGCTTGTGCTTGGAGGACGGGGTCCACTTGTCCTCACTGGTCACGCAGACGCCTCCTGGGTTGACGACTCAGCTACGCAGCGGTCGTCGCAGGGCTACACCTTCAGCCTTGGGTCTGGCTCGGTTTCTTGGCGGTCTACCCGCTCGTCTTCAGTTCTCAGCTCCAGTTGTGAGGCTGAGATCTACGCCGGAGCCATGGCTGCTCAGGAGCTACGCTGGCTCACCTACTTGCTGACCGACTTGGGAGAGCAGCCTCGTTCGCCTCCAGTCCTGTACGTAGACAACAAGGCCATGATAGCCTTGTGTCAGGAGCACAGACTGGAGCACAGAACGAAGCACATCGCTCTGCGCTACTTCCTTGCTCGAGAGTTGCAGCAGCATGGTCAGCTTCGTCTTGCGTACGTGGCCACTCGGGCCAACACTGCTGATGTCTTCACCAAGGCACTTCCGCCTGGTAATCATGAGCGCTTTGTTACTGTGTTAGGCCTTGTGCCTACTTTGCCTCACTTACTTACTACCTGACTCTACCTGTACTGTGATCTATATATATATATATGCATGCTTGCACTTGCTAGGGTATGATAACTGTATTGTTTGTTCTCTTTATACAACTCTGCATGTGAAGTGGCCTTGTGGCACTTTGCTTGTGCTCGAACTGTATGGTGACTTTGTGCTCCACTCTTAGCTTGCTTTGCTTTACTTCTTCTCTTGACTAGTCTTGTGACCATTAATTTCTCAGGCTATCCCCCACTTCGCCTATGGGGGTGTGTCAAACATATATGCTTAGTTGTATCTAGGCTTAGTCTATGTGTTTACAGTTGTCTAGGCTATAGTGGGTTTAGCCTTAGGGGGTACACAATTTCTCTCGACTGTTATAGTCACAGTAGGCTCCAATGTGCCTAAAACGAAAGATAGAGTGCACAGCCGGATTTCTGCACAGCGGACTCAAACGTTCATAGCGTTCTGGTCACAGCTTCAAATGACTTGATTCAACTTGGATCTGGAGCGTGGTATTGTCGCCTACCATAGACAATTTAGATCGCACGATTTGACCAAGTATGGACGACACAGCGTTGGTTTGAACGAACGGCACTATGGCAGCCACTATAGTCTTAGAACACAAGATAGGAAGAGTTAGGAAGAGTTACGAGTTGGGAATGACTCGGAGCTCCTACAAACCCCAAGAGCCGAGGTACAGTGATGTGGAACAGTGCCACACTGTCCCCAACCACGAAGGGTCTCGAAACTACCCTTCACTAGGGCCTACACCAAGTGAAATGTTACACTACACAAAGTAATGTAACTATCTTCAATATCTTGAGGTGTACCCTTTTGGCGAGCTTCGAAATCACTTGAGGCTTGACACCAAGGCTCGGGCTCTTCATTACAAACTCATCCTTGAGTTCTTGATGGGTCTTCTGCACACACCTGCGACACACCGAACGTTCGACACAGGACAAAATAGAAACCGCGCACGACAAAATAAAAACCGCGCGCGAGACACAAACGACCGCGTAACACGCGTCTAGCGATAACTCGCTATTGACTCAACACACACACTCGACATCATGACTCAACATTCACACACAATTACAAGCATGAAATATATATTATCCCATGCCCTCATACCATTCCATACACACACACACATGCATGCACACGGACAACAAGCCGAGTGCAAACCATAGGGTTGCACCAACATCGACATTATAATTGTACCCCCCCCCTTTCCTAGTCATTCATCCTCGTCATTCTTGCTAGTATTCTAACAGAACTGCGTTCTAATTCAAAGTATCCAGCCCGCGACAACGATTTGTGTAGAATCGACCTTTCTGGCAGAATTCTCTCCAAATGATTTCTCAAGTTCCCACCGTTCATAAGGCCTCAATATGACTGGTACGGACTCGAGATGTGTTGATGGAGAGATGGGTAGAGGTAGAGAGGCTGGAGAGCAGGGGGGAGTTGCTGGTGGTGGAGTGAGAACTCATCAACCAGCCAACCCTACGCTACCTATGTCTACTACACCATCTCCAACAACTGTGGATCCCGTGAAGGCGTTCTCTATTGAGAAATTCATGGGGGAGGACTACGAGCATTGGAGCTTACGCATGGGGCTGATGTACACCCAATACAAGCTGTTTGATTTGGTGGAGGGGAATGAGAAGATCCCGCAGGCCATGGAGTTGAAAGGAGCGTGGATGAAGCGATCTTTCGACGCGTACATGCTCATGGTGCAAGCGATTGGCAGACGACAACTTGACCACATCAAGGACCTCTTGGATCATCCAGAGTGTGGCCCCAAGGCTTGGAGGAAGTTTCTGGATGTGCACTCACCGACACACGCTACCAGCATCGCGCTACTCGCGCGGCGGCTGCGCGACATCACGTTCGTTGATGGAGAGCCGATGCAACAGGTGTTGGATGGGATGCGGGTCATCTTCACGAAGCTCCAATGCGGTGGTGTGGTGTACCCATAGCTTGTGCAATGCGTGGAGATCGTGATACGGCTGCCGGAGTCGTGGTTTGCCCTTGTGATTAACCTCAACTCTCAACAGCCCAAGTGGAGCGTGGATTACATCCGTGCGCGCATCCTAAAGGAGGACTTGCGGCGGCGGAGTGTGGAGCACTTGGAGGAGGGGGTTGGCTATGGATTTGGAGGTGGAAAGAGTGGCTTCAAGAAGAAGTGGAAGGGCAAGAACAAGGACAACCCTATGGAGGATGGCGGCGGGGGTCAAGGGGAGGTGTGCTTCTACTGCAAGAAGCGCATACATCGTTGGCGAAAGTGCTACCAACGACCTAAGGATTGGACCCCGTCTTCATCAAGCAACCAGCATGGTCGCAAGAGGAGTGGGGGAGTCATGGGAGCTAGCGGAGAGGAGAAGGGCAGCAAATCTGAGGAGCGGAAGGCCGGGTTCTTCTTCTTTGTGAACGAAGGCGCAACTGACCCCGCTATGGCTGCTAAGGTTCTCCTACACCCCCTCACCCATTGAATGACTGACTCGGGAAGCTCCTGGCATATGACTCCTCGTGCGGATCTACTCGATGAGATTCAGTCCGCACCCATCTCTACGGTCACATCCGCAACGGGCGCCAAGGCCAAGGTCATGGGCATGGGATGCGCCAAGTTCATGGGAGCGGATGGAGAGCTCGTGGGGCTAAAGAACGTGCTGTGGGTGCCGGTCTTGTGCGCAAACCTGATTTCTACCGGCCGGTTGGGAGATGCGGGTGTGAACACCGAGACAATTGGCTCGGAGCGCTATCATGCCTACAACGACGAGCGCCTCATTTGGGACCTGCACCGGAAGGGAGATGTCCACAGGTGCATGTGGCAGATCCCGGTCCTCCCTTGGTGGTAATCGGACAAGGCGACAGCCGTGACATCTATGAAGGAGAGCGTCACTATGGTGGAGCAGCGAGGTGTGCAAGGAGACGAGCTAATTGGAGGAAGTGCGGCGGTGAAGGCATCGGCTACCTCGGGCCAAGCGGATTGGGAGACTTGGCATCGGCGACTCGCACCCATGGCTGTATCTACATTGGAGGTGATGCACAAGGAGAAGTGCGTGCATGGGCTGCAACTGCAAGGAGATGGCGCTCACTATGGCAGCTGCGAGGCGTGCATGCAAAACAAGTTTGTGCGGTTCCCGTTTCCACGTGCGGAGGGATCACCCAAGGCACCATTGGAGGTGGTGCACATGGACCTGGTGGGTCCTATGCGGACGGAGGGGACTGGGGGAGTGCTGTACTTCCTCACCATGGTGGACGAATGGAGCCGTTTCACGTGGGCGCGTCCCTTGTCCAAGAAGAGCGATGCTGCAGCGGCGATCAAGGAGGATTGGTTGCCGATGGTGGAGCGGCAAGCGATGCGGCTGGTGAAGGTGCTGAGGAGCGACCGTGGTGGAGAGTTCCTTGGAGCGGGATTCACCAAGTTTCTCAAGAGGAACAGCATCCGACACCAGCTGACCTGCCCAGGCACACCGCAACAGAACGACATTGCTGAGCGTGCTAACCGACCATTGGCGAGGCGGCTAAGACCTTGTTGGGGGTTGCTGGGATGCCCTACAAGTTCTGGCCTGAAGCTGTTCGCCATGTCATCACGGTCAAGAACAGGGTCTTGACGCATGTTGGCGACAAGCACTGGGTGCCCTACGACCGTTGGCTTGGGAAGAAGCCATCCATTGACATGCTGCGGGTGTGGGGCTGGATGGGGCTTGTGATGGTGCCTAAGGAACAGAAGCACAAGCTGGAAGTTGCTGCTGTGTGGGCTGTCCATCTTGGGATGGCTCCTGACTCAAAGGGGTGGTTGATGTGGGACCCCAAGAGCAAGAAGACGCTGGTCAGCCGTGACGTAAAGTTTGTGGAGGACGTCATGTACAAGGACCGGCAGCAGCAGCAGCAGGTGCAGATTGGCGTGCGTCTGCAGGAGATGGAGCAGTCTGCAGTGGAGGAGGTTCAGCTGCACCTTGAAGATCTCCATGGGTCAGAGCTGACTAGTGACCACAGTGGCGGTGGAGAGCAGCAAGTTTCTGGTCCTGCTGTGGAGGAGGGGTTGGAGGATGAGTCGGCACGTGTGGACTCACCATCTCAGCCCGAGCCTGCTGCAACTGCCAAGGTCACCAAGAGGAGTGTGCAGAGAGGAGCTTCACCACATGGGCAGCAGACTGCAACCCGCGACAAGAGACTGACAGCACCACCTTCAAGGCTGAATTATAGCCGTTTGGGAGGACCCAAGCAAGGTGCTATGGCGGTTCAGGCGGATGAGGAAGATGATGAGGAGATGGCATTCTGTTTCTTCACACCTCTGCGTGGAGAACCAGCCACATTGGAGGAGGCACTGAGTGGACCTCAAAAGGAGGAGTGGAAGGCTACCATAGATGCGGAGTTCAACAGTCTCATTGAGAATGGGACTTGGGAGCTTGTTGAGTTACCCGAGGGCCGACAGCCAATCAGCAGCAAGTGGGTCTTCAAGGTGAAGAGTTGAGCTGATGGTGCGTTGGAGCGGTTCAAGAGCCGCTTGGTCGCTAAGGGGTTTCAGAAGAAAGAGAAGGTTAACTTCAAGGAGATATTCGCTCCCGTTTTTAAGCCAGTGACATTGAGGACTATGCTGTGTGAAGATAGTAGGTAAGTGGTAGAAGCCATAGCTAGGACTAACCTAGCTAGGCAAGGATAGTTAGAGAAAAGAGAGAGAGGGTTTTGCACTAGCAAGGAAGGGGATACATATATGAAACCCTAAGGGGTTATACTCGCAATAGAGTACCCCACTGCAGGCTAGTGAACAAATATGACATTCTGACATGCTGGCTGGCGTTGCGATGAAGGGATGGCACGTGAAGCAAATGGATATCACCACTGCATTTCTCAATGGAGTGATGCTGGAGGATATCTACATGGCGCAGCCCGACGGCTATGAGGATGGGACCAGCCGGGTGTGCAAGCTCAAGAAGGCTATCTATGGCCTTAAGCAAGTGCCCTTGTGCTGGCACGAGAAGCTGGAGGAGGTGCTGCTGAGTGGAGGCTTCAGGACGTCCCAAGCAGATCACAGCTTGTTTCTGCTCTGAGAGGGGGAGCAGCTTCTCTTGCTGCTGGTGTATGTCGATGACATACTGCTGTTCTCACCTTCCATGGAGCAGATTGAGAGGACACAAAAGCTGCTGATGGACAACTTCAAGTGCAAGATGATGGGGGATGTCCACTACTACTTGGGGCTGCAGATTGAGAGGTATGTTGAGAGGAGGTGGCTGTCACACTACATCTCTGGTGTCATGGAGCGCTATGGTGTGAATGGGGGTTGCACTGTGATGACACTGTTCCCTGCAGACTTCAAACTGAAGAAGGCAGCTGAGGAGGATGAGGTACTTGAGGATGAGCAGCAGAATGAGGAGGTCCAAGAAGTAGAGCGAGATTGCTCAGTCTTCCGGAGAGGCAGAGTACATGGCGATGTACCATGCCATCACAGAGATCGTGCTCCTGAGGAAGCTGTTAGAGGACATGGGAGCTGAACACGAGGGACCTACACCACTTTTCTCCGACAGTGAGGCTGCTATTGGCATGGCCAATAATCCTATCCCGAATGGGCTGAACAAGCACATGAAGACTAAGTGGCACTGGGTGAGGCAGATGGTGAAGGAGGGGATTGTTGAGCTTCACCATGTGAAGGCTACCAAGCAGGCAGCAGATCTCACCAAGAGACTTCCCGAGAGCGCACATTGGAAGTGTGCTAAGATGTGTGGCATGGCATTGCACTAGTGTGGGCAGCAGTGTCATGAGTGCATGTCTGATTGTGTGCATGAGAGTTTGCATGTGTGTGAGTGTGTGTGCATGCAGTGCATTAGTCTGAGAGGGAGCTTGTTGGGTGCACGTCACACTGAGTGCATGTCATCTTAATGTCTTGCCGATTGCTCGTGCTATTCATGCATGCATTGTTTGCATGAGCATATGTCATTATGCATGACTGTTGGATATTATCATCTCTGTATTTTTTCTTCAAGTTTAAATGCTTGATAATGCACGAGAAATCCAGAGCTTTCCAACGATACCAAGATCGCCTTATTCCGACCAAGATCGCCCAAGTTACAAGATTTCCAAGACTTGGTTTTCTTATTACCTTTGGGGTTATATCTAATTTGAGTGATTGCTTGGACATGACTATAAAGGGATCTTTGGTTGGGTGGTTAGGAAGGCAACTTTGACTTTTGGATTGGGGTGGCTAGAAGTTTCTAGCATGGGTTGCAAATGTTGCAACACTTAGGCAAAATCCAACTAGATTGGATATTGCATGTGACACCTCAAAGACCTCACGATGAGGGTTGCATCCTTGCTGCTAGGAAGGTTCCTACGATCCTTCCCTAGCTCTTGGAAAACCCCTTCCATCTCATGGTTCTCTTGGAGTCCCAAACTCCAACATTCTATGCCTTCATGCTTGTACTTCCTGTACCATTCATTTCATGCGGCTGCTGGACTTTTTCAATTGGTTTTCACTCTATAGAGCATCTTTTTAAGTGATTCGAATTGCAGATGTTATAAAAGCCAAAGGCGCACAATCCTACCGAGCGTATTTGCGTTTAGTCGAGAAATGAATTCGTCGTAAGTTCTCAAAATGACGGATCCTGAACAACTGGTATCAGAACGGGTAGTTGACTTTGAGACAACGAATCGTCATCATTTCTCAACCAATGTTAACAAGTGAGACCCTTTTCTAGTAGCTCTTCATCGGAACTTTCGATTGATGGTCAAACCACGTTCTAATTCGAAATATTCGGTCTGTGACGGCGATTTGTGTAGAATCAAAATTTCTGGCAGAATTCTCTCCAAACGATTTCTCAAGTTCCCACCGTTCATAAGGCCTCAATATGACTGGTACGGACTCCAGAGGTGTTAATGGCGAGATGGCTATAGGTAGAGAGGCTGGAGAGAAGGGGGAAGTTGCTGGTGGTGGAGTGGGGACTCACCAACTAGCCAACCCTACGCTACCTACTTCTACTACACCATTTCCAACAACCGTGGATCCCGTGAAGACGTTCTCTATTGAGAAATTCATGGGGGAGGACTACGAGCACTGGAGTTTCCGCATGAGGCTGATGTACACCCAATACAAGCTATTGGATCTGGTGGAGGGGAAGGAAAAGATGCTGGAGGCCACCGAGCAGAAAGGAGCGTGGATACTTTGCAACCCGCGCGCCGCCTTGCTGCTGCCCGCCCTACCTTGCCCGCGCGCCGCCCTACTGGCCGTTGCGCCGCTCTTTGCAGCCCGCCGCGCCGCCCTTTGAAGCCCGCGCGTCGCCCCTTGCAGCCCGCGCACCGCCCTTTGCACCTGCGCGCCGCCCTGCTGCTGCCCGCCCTGCTACATGTAGCCCTGCTAGCCAGCGCATTGCCGCCCGCACAGCCCTGTTGCGCGCCGCCCTGCTGCTTGCGCCGCCCAGCTGCTACCCGCCCTGCTGCGCGCAGACCTGCTGGCCGGCGCCCTGCTGGTGTTGAAGATCCTAGAGTTTAGTAGGCTTAGGAGCCATGGCTAGTTGCCTTAGTAGCTTAGGTTTAGGGTTGATGAAAGTCGAGAAAGTTGAGAGGAGAAAGAGAGGTTCACTATAGGTTTGCAAGAACATATAGCAAAGGAAACAAAGAAGGTGCACCACCAAACAAAGTTTATAATAACTACACTAACTACAGCTACAGGCAGTTACAGATATATTCTGACACTCCCCCATAACTGCCTGCAGCAGAAGCTAATGCAGAGACACCCCCTGAAGGGGTACACCAAGCGCAGCAGAAGGAGAGGGCAAGTGAGGAGGAGGGACTATATGAGGAGAGGTTGCTGGCAGGTTAAGCTGCTGGCTCCAAGACGGCTGCTTCCTGGAACCTTCCTCAGTCCTCCAACTCCCCCTTCCATACTCCTTGACAACCCTAGCACCTCTCCCCCAGCTCCCCCACACCCTCACACCCACCCCCCCCCCCAGCGGCAGCTGCAGCAGTGGGAGAGAAAGGAGGAGGAGGGGAAGGGGATCACACACACCCATCACCCCCATACCCGCCACCCCCAGAGCCTCCGTTCCACGGCTGCACGCGCAACAAGGAGACGAAGAAGGGGGGGGGGGGGGGGGGGGGAGGGGGGGGGGGGGGGGGGGCGACAGAGCAGAACAGAGCGCACGAGGGCGCGGGTAGCAGCAGGGCGCACGAGGGCGTGGGCAGCAGCAGAGCGCACGAGGGCGCAGGCAGACCAGAGCGCGGGCAGCAACGGGCGGCAACGGGCAGCACAGGCACGGGCAGCAACGGGCAGCAACAGGCAGCACAGGCTCGGGCGGCAACGGGCAGCACAGGCACGTGCAGCAACGGGCGGCAACGGGCAGCACAGGCACGTGCAGCAACAGGCAGCACAGGCTCGGGCAGCAACGAGCGGCAACAGGCAGCACAGGCATGGGCAGCAACAGGCGGCAACGGGCAGCACAAGCATGGGCAGCAACAGGCAGCAACGGGCAGCACAGGCACAGGCAGCAATGGGCGGCAACAGGCAGCACAGGCACGGGCAGCAACAGGCAGCACAGGCACGGGCAGCAACGGGCGGCAACAGGCAGCACAGGCACGGGCAGCAACGGGCGGCAACGGGCAGCACAGGCACGGGCAGCAACGGGCGGCAACGGGCAGCACAGGCACGGGCAGCAACGGGCGGCAACGGGCAGCACAGGCACATGTAGCAACGGGCGGCAACAGGCAGCACAGGCACGGGCAGCAACAGGCAGCACAGGCACGGGCAGCAACGGGCGGCAACAGGCTGCACAGGCACGGGCAGCAACGGGCGGCAACGGGCAGCACAGGCACGGGCAGCAACGGGCGGCAACGGGCAGCACAGGCACGGGCAGCAACGGGCGGCAACCGACAGCACAGGCACAGGCAGCAACGGGCGGCAACGGGCAGCACAGGCACGGGCAGCAACAGGCAGCAACGGGCAGCACAGGCACAGGCAGCAACAAGCAGCAACAGGCAGCACAGGCTCGGGCAGAAACGGGCGGCAACAGGCAGCACAAGCACGGGCACCAACAGGCAGCAAAGGCACGGGCAGCAACAGGCAGCAACGGGCAGCACAGGCACGGGCAGCAACAGGCAGCAACGGGCAGCACAAGCACAGGCAGCAACGGGCGGCAACAGGCAGCACAGGCACGGGCAGCAACAGGCAGCACAGGCACGGGCAGCAACGAGCGGCAACAGGCAGCACAGGCACGGGCAGCAACAGGCAGCAACGGGCAGCACAGGCACGGGCAGCAACAGGCAGCAACAGGCAGCACAGGCTCGGGCAGCAACGGGCGGCAACAGGCAGCACAGGCACGGGCAGCAACAGGCGGCAAAACAGGCGGCAACAGGCAGCACAGGCAAGGGCAGCCGTACCGAGTCCACGAGCGGCGGCGCATACAGCTGTGGGGTCGGCATCGTGGGCTGCTGCTGGGGCGGCTCGCGGGGTCCAGAGGCGGCTGCTGTTGCTGGGGCGGCTTCTCCAGAGGCTGCTGTTGCTGGGGCGGCTGCTCCAAGCGCTGCTGCTACTGGAGCGGCCGCTGCAGTGGCGGCGGCTCCAGGGGCTGCTGCTGTTGCGGCGGCGGCTCCAGGGGCTGCTGCTGCTGGGGCGGCTGCTCCAGGCGCTGCTACTGCTGGGGCTGCTGCTGAGGTCCAGGGCCGGCGCTGGTGCAAGGTAGGCCCGCGCTCGGCTGCAACGCTGGCGCGGGCGCAGGTGAGGCAGAGGCGGTGGCCAAGGGGGAGGGCGCCGCGACGAGTACAAACGGCACCCAAGGGGTGCCGCTACGAGTAGGGGCGACGCCCCAGGGGCGCCGCGACGAGCAGGAGCGGCGTCCAGGGGGCGCCGCGACGAGCAGTGGCGACGCCATGCGGGTCCTGCAGGTGCGTCGCGACGAGCAGGAGCGGCGCCTCGCAGGGCGCCGCGAAGTGGAGGGTACGGGCGGGCAAAACAGGCCCGCGCGTGGACGTGAGGCAGGCGTGCAGGCGGCGTGAGGGCAGGCCACGCGCGGGGCAGGAAGACGCCGCGCGCCCAGGGCGCACGGCGGGCAGAAAATCGCAGTGCGCCTCTGGCGCACGGCGTGAAAAATACGCCGCGCGCCCGAGGCGCGCGGCAGGACGATAGTACCTCCTGAAGCAGGAAGGCAGCAGGAAAGTACCTGCTCTGAATACCATGTTGAAGATCCTAGAGTTTAGTAGGCTTAGGAGCCATGGCTAGTTGCCTTAGTAGCTTAGGTTTAGGGTTGATGAAAGTCGAGAAAGTTGAGAGGAGAAAGAGAGGTTCACTGTAGGTTTGCAAGAACATATAGCAAAGGAAACAAAGAAGGTGCACCACCAAACAAAGTTTATAATAACTAGACTAACTACAGCTACAAGCGTTTCCAGATATATTCTGACAGCTGCCTGTCAAAAGAATGAACGAGAATGAAATGAACTAGAAATGAGTTGGGTACAAGTAGTAACCCTAATTGGGTTGTACCCTTTATGGGCTACCCCACTATAGCCTACAAAAATGTAAAAGCTATAATGTTCTGACACACCCCCATTGGGGGAGAACAAGTGGTCACAAGACCAGTCAAGAAAAGCAAAAAAAGCTCAGGGTGGATCACAAAGTCACCACACAATCCGAGCACAAGCAAAGGGCCACAAGGCCAGTTCACATGCAGAGTGATATAAAGAGAACAAACAATACAGTGATCATATCCTAGGAAGTGCAAGCATGCAGGTATATATATATATCGGAGTACAAGCGGATTCAAGCAGTAAGCAAGTGAGGAAAAGTAGGCACAAGGCCCAACACAGTAGAGAAGCGCTGATGATCACCAGGCGGAATTACCTTGGTGAATATATCAGCAGTGTTGGCCCTAGTGGCCACGTACGCAATGCGAACCTGGCCACGCTGCTGCAACTCTCGAGCAAGGAAGTATCGCAAAGCGATGTGCTTCATTCTGTGCTCCAATCTGTGCTCCTTACACAAGGCAATCATGGCCTTGTTGTCTACGTACAGAACTAGAGGCGAACGAGGCTGCTCTCCCAAGTCATTCAGCAGGTAGGTGAGCCAGCGTAGCTCCTGTGCAGCCATGGCCCCGGCGTAGATCTCAGCCTCACAACTGGAGCTGAGAACCGAAGACGAGCGGGTAGACCGCCAGGAAACAGAGCCAGAGCCAAGGCTGAAGGTGTAACCCTGTGACGACCGCTGCGTAGCTGAGTCGTCAACCAAAGAAGTGTCTGCGTGACCGGTGAGGACAACTGGACCCCGTCCTCCAAGCACGAGCCCCATGCCTGACGTACTGCACAAGTAACGCAGTACCCTCTTCGTAGCATCCCTGTGCACCTTTCGGTGCCTGCAAGGAGTGACGTAGCGAGCCAAGAGGCCAAGAGGGTACGCGAGGTCAGGTCGAGTGCACGTCATCAGGTACATGAGGCAACCCACAAGCTATGGGTACGGACCACTCCGCTTTACGGACTCGTCGGAAGGTGGAGCTCAGAGTGAGTGGCTGGTAGATAGAGGAGTGAACTATGGCGAGAAGAACGGGAAGCCGAAGTGCTGAAGGACCTGGTGCACCATGTGTGACTTAGTCAGGGTAATGGTGCGCCGAGCCCTGTCCTGGGTGATATGTAAGCCAAGATATCTGTGCAGTTCACCGAGGTCAGTGCAGGTGTGTCTCTTCTCCAGCTCCGATTTCACAAGGGTCAGTGCCTCGGTGTCAGTAGTGGCAAAGACGAGGTCATCGACGTAGACAATGACGTAGAACGGCGGCAGCGAGGTGTCGGTGGGTAGAAACAGCGACGGGTCAGCAGTAGCAAGAGCAAACCCAAGAGCCGCAAGGGTAGTCCTCAGTGTGTCATGCCACTCGCGAGGCGCCTGGCGGAGACCGTAGACTGGCCGCCGAAGACTCCACTGAGTACCTGTAGGAAAAGACTCAGTGAAACCAGGTGGGCGGCGCAGCCAGATCTCCTCGTGCAGGCTGCCCTGCAGGAAAGCTGTGCTGAAGTCCAGAGAGTGCAACTCGTAGTCACGCTGAGCATCTACGTGCAGCAACACCCAAAGAGTAGTCATCTTCGGGGTAGGGGAGAAGGTCTAGAAGAATTCAACTCCCTGTCGCTAACTGAAGCCTCGAGCAACGTAACGTGCCTTGAAGGCAGGCGGAGAACCCGGCGGCCGCTTCACCCTGAAGATCCACATGCCATCGACTATGTTCGCCCCAGGTGGGGGAACCTCTTCGACGTAGGTGCTTGTGGACTTCCACGATGCCATCTCGGCATCCATGGCTGCCTGCCAGTGAGAGGATTAGGGACCCGTAATCGCCTCTGCGTAAGAGCGCGGGGTTGGGATGTTTTGGTGCATCCGGGTCTCCCTCAGGGGCAAGCAGCATGGAAGCGAAACGAGGTACAGCTGCTGCAAGACACTCAAAGTCCTCTTGCCTGTCCTCAAGGACGTCCATGACAAGAGCACACTCACCCCCGACGGACAGAGGACTAGTAGACGCAGACTCAGCAACAAGAGGAGTGGCAGGTGCGCACTGAGGGCGCTCAAGGCAGTGCAAAGGCACGCCCATCTTGCTTTCCTTGCTGCCCCTGAGTCGCTCAGCCCCTCTTTATAGTGTCAACCCACTTGTGCCGCGTCCATCCATCCCCATGCCTCCTCCCATAACCACCCGCAGGCGCCATGTGCTTGTTGCTGCAGCAACAGGTAGGCATGGGAGTGAGCGTGGTGAGGGCGGTGAGGGCAGCGAGGGCAGTGAGGGCAGTGCAGAGTTACGGGCAGGTGCATGGCGACCTCAAAGCATCCAACGTGCTGCTTGCTCTGAGCTGCCTTTGAGGTGCGTCAGTTACCATTGCGTCAGTTGCCATTGCGTCAGTTACCATTGCGTTAGTTGCCATTGCGTCAGTTGCCATTGCGTCAGTTGCCATTGCGTTAGTTGCCATTGCGTCAGTTGCCATTGCGTCAGTTGCCATTGCGTCAGTTGCCATTGGGTCAGTTGCCATTGCGTCAGTTGCCATTGTGTCGGTTGCCATTGTGTCAGTTGCCATTGCGTCAGTTGCCATTGCGTCAGTTGCCATTGCGTCAGTTGCCGTTGCGTCAGTTGCCATTGGGTTGGTTGCCATTGCGTCAGATGCCATTGCGTCAGATGCCATTGCGTCATTTGCCATTGCGTCAGTTGCCATTGCGTCAGTTGCCATTGTGTCCGTTGCCATTGTGTTAGTTGACATTGCGTCGGTTGCCATTGCGTCAGTTGCCATTGCGTCGGTTGCCATTGCGCCGGTTGCCATTGCGTCGGCTGCCATTGCGTTGGTCGCCATTGTGTCGGTTGCCACTGTGTTAGTTGCCAGTGTGTCAGCTGCCATTGCGTCAGCTGCCATTGCGTTACTTGCCCTTGCGTTAGTTGCCATTGCGTCAGTTGCCATTGCGTCAGTTGCCATTGCGTCAGTTGCCATTGCGTCAGTTGCCATTGCGTCAGCTGCCATTGCGTCAGTTGCCATTGTGTCAGTTGCCATTGCGTCAGTTGCCATTGCGTCAGTTGCCATTGCGTCAGTTGCCATTGCGTCAGCTGCCATTGCGTCAGTTGCCATTGTGTCAGTTGCCATTGCGTCAGTTGCCATTGTGTCAGTTGCCATTGTGTCAGTTGCCATTGCGTTAGTTGCCATTGTGTCAGTTGCCATTGCGTGAGTTGCCATTGCGTCAGTTGCCATTGCGTCATTTGCCATTGCGTCAGTTGCCATTGCGTCAGTTGCCATTGTGTTAGTTGCCATTGCGCCAGTTGCCATTGTGTCAGTTCCCATTGTGTCACACAGGACGCACTGTGAAATGCGTGCTTCCTTTGCGCTGCGATGACCTGAACCCCTGTCCCCATAGCATGCTCTATTATGTCAACTCAAGAGCCACAGACGCGGCGCCCTCCCATCGTCTCACTTCCCTCCTCCCTGCCTCTCCTCCATCTCCCCCATCTCAGCTGTGTGTGGGCGACTGAGGTGTGGTGCGTATCGGGCATTTAGTGCACGTGCACATGGGCAGGGGCTTAGAAAGGCAGTAGCAAGGTTCCTTCTGCTGTCTCACTCCATTTCTTGCCTGTCCCTTCTCACATCGCCATCGTCCCTCTCTCACTCCGTGAATCTTCAATGCTCTCTGCCTCTCGCCATCGTCCCCCACCCAGCTGTGTGTGGGCGACTGGAATGGGGTGCGTATGGGGCAGCGCGTACACGTGGACATGGGCAGGGGTCTGGGAAGGCACCAGGAAGGTTCCTTGCCAAGCGGGGGCGGGGAAGAGAGAGACAGCGAAGGGAGGAGCAAGGGTGGCAGCAGCAGTGGCAAGGGCAGCAGCAGTGGCAAGGGAAGCAACAGTGGCAAGGACAGCAGCAGTGACAAGGGAAGCAACAGTGACAAGGGAAGCAGTGACAAGGGAAGCAACAGTGACAAGGGAAGCAGCAGTGACAAGGGAAGCAACAGTGACAAGGGAAGCAACAGTGACAAGGGAAGTAGTGACAAGGGAAGCAGTGACAAGGGAAGCAGCAGTGGCAAGAGTGGCAATAGTGGCTTTTTGTGGGGGACAAGTAGCAGTGGCAGCAGGAGCAGCAGCAGCAACGGGGGAGGGCAGCAAGCGTGTGTGTTGCGGTGCACGGAGGGGCATGTGGACCCAGCCGTGCTGCACACCAGCATTGCCACCCCCACCAGTGACATGTACAAGTAGGGCTTCGATCAACCTGCCTCTCCACTTTGCATTCACCAAGGTGGAGTGTGAGTGGCAGCTTCTACAACTGCTCACTCCCGTAACCCTTGCCTGTCTGCCTTTACCCCTTGCCTGTCTGGCCTTCCCTCCCGCCATTGTGGAGGTGCTGCTGCTACAGCTGCTCACGGGGTGGGCCAGTCCCTTGAGGCATGTGAATGGGCAGCGCACCCACATCTATGACTGGGTGCATGGGGCTCTGATCAGAGGATGTTCTGGGAGGCCGTGGTATGGTATGGCATGGCATGGTGTGGCATGGTGTGGCATGGTTGCATGGTATGCCATGGTGGGATGTCCAGCGAATTTCAGAAATCTCTAGGTGCTATGCTCATATCACACAATTTACACCTCATGCTCACACCTCTGCACCGCATGCTCACACCTTTGCACCTAATGCTCACACCTCGGCACCTCGTGATCACACCTCTGCACATCATGCTCACATCTGTGCACCTTGTGCTCACATGGTTCTGCTTCCTCAAGCCCCTAGCCCTCCTTCACTCCTCATCCTCCCCTTCCCACTTCCCCCTGTTCCTCCTCATCCCCTCCTCTTGCCCACTCACTTCTCGCCCCCTCCCCTAGCCTACGTACTTCTCGTCCCCTCCCCTAGCCTACCTACTTCTTGTCCCCTCCCCTAGCCCACCTACTTCTCTTTCTCTCCCCTTGCCCACTGGTGTAGTGAGAACAGTTACATTATAATGTGTAGTGTAACATTTCTCATGGTGTAGACCCTTCTGGAGGGAAGTTTCGATACCCTTCATGATTGAGCACAGTGTGGCATTGTTCCACATCACTGTACCTCGGCTCTTGGGGTTTGTAGGGGCTGGGAGTCATTCCCAGCTCGTAACTCAACCTAATTTGTGTTCTAAGTCTATAGTGGCTACTATAGTGCCAATCGTTCAAACTGACGTTGCGTCATCAATTCTTGATGAAATCGTGCGAAATAAAATTCCTATTGTAGGCAATATCAAGACGCTCCAGATCCAATTTATAGCAAGTCATTTAAAGCTGTGAACAGAACGCTATCAATGTTTGAAGCCGTTGTGCAGAAATCCGACAGTGCACTCTAGCTTTCGTTTTAGGCACATTCAAGCCTACTGTGACTATAACACTTGGCAGATTGCGTGAAAATGGGCAAGGCATTTTCCCAGGAAGTCGTTTATAACCTGATTCACTGCATGCGGGATCTTAGTCGGTTGGGCGGTACGAATTTGTTCAACGTTGAGAAGTGGCCACCAAACCAGGAAACACGTGTGCGCCGGTGTGCCAACTGGCTTCACTGGTGTACCATTCTTTTCAACGACCAGCTGCCTGTTATGAAGGGCTGCCCAAAATTCCATTATATTTTGTATATTATGTTCATATTTTTTAATACAAATTTCTGTCACAATTTCTTGCAATTCCGTTCCCGTTACAGTTGCAGGTTTCGGCCTTTGGGCAGCCGAACTGGAGCTGAAAACATTTTGCCACATCATGAAGAACCACCACGAGGACAAGAACTTCTTCTAGGGGCTTACCAACATGCTAAAGACGCGCCGCTGGCCATGTTCATTCCTGAACCTCATAACCATGTGGCACGCATTGGCCGTTCTGCCTCTAAGCACGTTCGAGTGCGAACGAAGATTTTCCCGCAAGAATATCATCAAGAGCTTGCAGCGCATGACTCTCAATGACGCGCGCTTGACGGAACTCATAAGCATCCACATGCTAGACTACAACGTGGAGTGGCCAGATGTCGTGGACATCTGGCGCAAGTAGAAGAAGCGTCGCCCTGCAAAAACATCTGCGCCATACCGAGCTGCAAACAATAAGGGGGAAGCAAAGGCAGACTCTAACTCTGAAAATGAACATGGCAGCGATGTTGGGGAGGACTAGGAGCGAGGTGGTTAGTCTGTGCTAGAATATACCTCAACGTTAAAAAATATCATTAATATTAAATGCGTTTTGGAAAGCACAAGCTCTAAAACTTTATGGTGGAAAATAGAAACAACATGTTTGGCATAGTAAAGCAAATATCAGAGTTGGCAAAAAAAAATACACTAACATGCCATGCCAGAGTTTTTTTTTTTTTTTTTAAGAGAGTGCATTTACTCCGACGAATGAGAGAAACACTGGACTAAAACAGTGATTTCCAGAGTCGGGAAAAAACTGACCCTGAAAAACAGAGTACTCAAAAAAAAAAAAAAAAAAAAAAAAAACCTAGTTGGCGTCAACTAGTTTCCCTGAGCATTTCGCAATTTGGGCCTTGAGTTTTAATTAATATTCTTCACTTCAATAGTACACATGGAAATATTTGCATACGATACTTTGACAAACCCCATACAGTTCTTACCTTATCCGACATTAGATGAAGACCCTCTGGATCTTCAAACTGGGATATCACGGTAGCTTGCTTAAGAATATTGTAAATGCTGGTTACGGGAAGTGTCAGAATAGTGAAAGAAGGAATGAATGAACTAGCAAGCAAGTGGGTACAAGTAGGAAACCTAAAAGTGTTGTACCCTATATGAACTACCCACTACAGTCTAGACAGACTATAGCATATATGTTTGACACACCCCCATAGGCAAAGTGGGGGAGAACAAGAGGTCACAAGACCGGTCAAGAAAGGCAAAGTAAGCTCAGGGTGGATCACGACGTCACCACACATTCTGAGCACAAGCAAATGGCCACAAGGAGAAGAAGCAATACAGTGAACACAACCTAGCAAGTGTAAGCATGCAGGTATATGTATAAAGATCACAGTACAAGCAGAGTCAAGAAGTAAGCAAGTGAGGCCAAGTAGGCACAAGTCCTAGCATAGTACACAAGCGCTGATGATCACAAGGCTGTGTTAGATAGTAGCAAGAATGACGAGGATGGTTTACTAGGAAGGAAGGAAGGGTACAAGTACAATGTCGAGAGAAATTGTGTACGCCCTAAGGCTAAACCCACTATAGCCTAGACAATTGTAAACGCATAAACACATATGTTTGACACACCCCCATAGGTGAAGTGGGGGATAGCCAGACCAAGCAATGGTCTCAAGTCCAGTCAAGAGAAGAAGCAAAGCAAAGCAAGCTCAGGCTGGATCACAAAGTCACCACACAGTCCAAGCACAAGCAAAGGGCCACAAGGCCAGTTCACATGCAGAGTTAAATAAAGAGAACAAACAGTACAGTGATCATACCCTAGAAAGTGCAAGCATGCAGGTATATAGATAGATCACAATACAGGCAGAGTCAGACAGTAAGTAAGTGAAGCAAAGTAGGCACAAGGCCTAACACAGTAACAAAGCGTTGATGATCACCAGGCGGAAGTGCCTTGGTGAAGACATCAGCAGTGTTGACCCAAGTGGCCACATACGCTAGACGAAGCTGACCACGCTGCTGCAACTCTCGAGCAAGGAAGTATCCCAGAGCGATGTGCTTCATTCTATGCTCCAGTCTGTGCTCCTGACACAAGGCTATCATGGCCTTGTTGTCTACGTACAGGACTGGAGGCGAACGAGGCTGCTCGCCCAAGTCGGTCAGCAAGTAGGTGAGCTAGCGTAGCTCCTGAGCAGCCATGGCTCCGGCGTAGATCTGAGCCTCACAGCTGGAGCTGAGAACTGAGGACGAGCGGGTAGACCGCCAAGAAACCAGGCCGGACCCAAGGCTGAAGGTGTGACCCTGCGACGACCACTGCGTAGCTGAGTCGTCAACCCAGGAAGCGTCTGCGTGACCAGTGAGGACAAGTGGACCCCGTCCTCCAAGCACAAGCCCCATGCCCGACGTACTGCACAGGTAACGCAGTACCCTCTTCGCAGCATCCCAGTGCACCTTTCGGTGCCTACCGAGAGCCACGTAGCGAGCTAGAAGGCTGAGAGGGTATGCGAGGTCAGGTCGTGTGCAAGTCATCACGTACATGAGGCAACCAACAAGCTCTCGGTACGGACCACTTGGCTCTACAGACTCTTCCAAAGGTGGAGCTGGGATCGAGTGGCTGGTAGATAGAGGAGTGAGCTGTGGCGAGGAGTACTGGAAGCAGAAGCGCTGAAGGACCTGGTGCACCATGTGTGACTGAGTCAGTGTGATGGTGCGCCTGCAGGCCAAGATAGTTGCGCAGTTCACCCAGGTCAGTGCAGGTATGTCTCTTCTGCAGCTCAGACTTCACAAGGGTCAGTGCCTCAGTGTCAGCCGTGGCAAAGACAAGGTCGTCAACGTACACTAGGACGTAGAAAGGTGGCAGCGAGGTGTTGGTGCGTAGAAACAGCGACGGGTCTGCTGTAGAAGGAACAAACCCAAGAGCCGCAAGTGTAGTCGTGAGTGTGTCGTGCCACTTGCGAGGTGCCTCGCGGAGACCGTAGACTGGCCGGCGGAGGCTCCACTGGGTACCTGCAGGAAACGACCCAGTGAAACCAGGTGGTCGGCGCAGCCAGATCTCCTCGTGCAAGCTGCCCTACAGGAAGGTTGTATTGATGTCCAGGGAGTGTAACTCGTAGTCACGCTGAGCAGCTACGTGCAGCAACACCTGAAGAGTAGTCATCTTCAGGGTGAGGGAGAAGGTCTGGAAGTAGACAACTCCCTGTCGCTGACTGAAACCTTGAGCAACGTAGCGTGCCTTGAAGGCAGCCGAAGAACCCGACGGCCGCTTCACCTTGAAGATCCACATGCCATCGACTATGTTCACCCCAGGTGGGGGAACCTCGTCAACGTAAGTGCCTGTGGACTTCCAGGATGCCATCTCGACATCCATAGCTACCTGCCACTAAGAGGAGTAAGGACCCGTAATCGCCTCTGCGTAAGAGCGCGGTGTCGGGATGTCTGGAGCATCCGGGTCTCCCTCAGGGGGAAGCAGCAAGGAAGCGAAACGAGGTACAGCAGCAGCAAGACACTCAAAGTCCTCCTGCCTATCCTCAAGGACGTCCGCGTTAAGAGCACACTCACCCCCGACGGACGGAGGACAGGCAGGCACAGACTTAGTAACTAGAGCAAAGGCGTAGTCGAGACGGCAGGCAGCAGCAAAGTCAAGCAGCTCAGCAACGAGAGCAGAAGGAGCAGCAGACTCAAAGGACGGGTCAGTGTCAGCAGTGGCAAGGAGACGAGTGACAATGGGACTCCCAGCACGCGCTCGGTCAGACTCAAGGTCAGGGACCTCAGGAAGAGAGGACTCTGGAGGAGTAGGCAGAGGAACACGCAGTGGAAAAGAGGAAGGACGGAGTGCCATGGTGTGCGTGCCTGGGACGAGCAGTGTGAACAAGTGAGAAAGGACGAGACGAAGGCTCACGACACTTTGTAAGACCTCCAGACTGCTCAGTGTAAGGAGAAGGAACAGGAAGTGGGGAGGCTGGCTGTAACGGCGGCTACGACTGGTCAGGCGGTGGACACAGGAAGGGAGGAGGAAGACCAGTAGAAGACGGGACACCAAGAACCTGCTGAAGCAGGGGAACAAAGTACGGGCGCGGCCGCACAGTGCCTCCAGCACATCCAGCTCCAGGGTCAACAGCTCTAGCTCCTTCAGCTCCAGCGCCTCCTGCGCCAGGGCCTCCAACTCCAGCTACACCAGCTCCAGCGCCTCCGGCACCAGCTGCTCCAGGCTCCGTAGGGTCTCCAGCTCCAGTGGTAACAGCAGCACCTCCAGCTCCAGCGTCTCCAGGCTCGCCAGCCCCAGGAGCTCC